GCACAGTATGATCAAAGAACATACAAGATCTAATTTCTGCCTTTCTTTATTCAGGACAAATACAGAAACATCCTGATCCACTGATCTGTAGAGCATAGAAAACAGTACTAAATATGGTGACCTTCTCTAGGTATGAGAAGCTGCCACTGTTTTTGTAATATCTGAATTCCTTATAAGCAGTTTGTTTAGATTGTCTGTGCTTGGTCCAGCTGAAAGAAGGAGGCACTTCAATAGACTGCAAAACAAGATACTGAAAAATTAAAAGCCAGACTTTCTTTGGTGTACCTTAACAAAAATCAGAATTTAATAAGTGCAAAAAACAATTGAAAACATTCTGCACAGTTTACCTCTGGAATGGAGAAAGAAAAACAAATTAATATCCAAGACCAAATTGATGTCTTTTCATCTTTATGCTAGTTAAACACACAGGTCTGCTTAGTTGTATCACCTTGCAATAACACCTTCTGTTATGGTATCTATCAGAAGTTCACCCTTATTTTCCCAAATCTGCTGAACAATAATCTCATAAACACCTCTGCCCAGAGCCCCCCGTGTCTGATACAAGAGACAGAAAGACAGGCTGTGAAGTGGATGAATCTCTCAAGTGCAGGGTTTGCTATAAGCACCCATACACATTTGGTAGGCTTTTGGGGACTCTTGGTGTTTTGGTTGGGTTTTTTTTTCATATTCTACAGTTGTCTGTCTGGATGCTCTGAGAAACCTCTTACTCTATCTCCCTTTAAGAATACATCAGCTAGTCTTAGTCTTTTTTCCCCTTTTCTTTTCTTTTCTTTTCAAACCAGATCTAAAAGAAAAAAAAATACTGGAGGGAGAAGAACAAAAATATAAAAATCCCCGTTTTCCATAATAGACTGAACTATTTTAGTTCTCATCACTCCAACAGCCTGCAAAACAGTGCCGGTTAAGATTTTCGTTTGCGAATGATTTTCTGCCGCAATACATTTCCTGGTCCTTGTTCTCAACTTACTCACGAGGTGGCACCAGAGCTCAAATTTTTAGAAACACCATTTGAAACTCCGGATGTCTTTTTCTAACCTCCTGAAAATTTATCATTTGTTTTGTCAGGGCAAAGCCAAAAGGACCAGAAGATCATTCACAGTGAAAGAGAAACGGAGGAACTCATCCAACTGGTCCAGGAGATGGGTGATCAGAAAGTAATACTAAGGTCAATGTGATAAATTTAACATTTCCAAAGCATTTTATCAAACAGTGGTGAAAGAATTAGTGCTATATGAAGGAATGGTTTTCCAGTACTTTCTAACTCATTAAAAAAAACCACCATACCTTAAGCTTTTCCTTGTATCACAGGAGATGGGGGGTGATTCTTTCTTTCATTTGCAGGATTGCTTTGAAGCCTCACACTACTTCCCTACTTACAGGCTACAAGTATACAGTGGTGTAAAAAATTCACATTTCAATTGCCTTGTTGCTTTTTTTGTGATTCCTTGTTCCCCTCCCACCAACTCATATCAAAGCAAGGAAGCCTTCTCATTAATTTCACTATGTCTTTTTCTGTAATATAGTTACTGACATTTCCTTTCATTTTGATTTTTTCCCTCAACTCCTCTTCAAAAGGTTTAAAATGTGGATGACCATTCCCCATCAAGTGGGTGAGTTACCATTCCTCTGAGGTCTTTAAGCTGAATGCAAAAAGCCCCACCCTACTGCAAGTCTAATACATGTCTTTCCAAAAAAGCACAGCTGACTGTCTTCAAAGCTGACAGGCTACTTTCTACTTTCCTTCTATCCCCAGTTCACACTTGATTAAAGTCTGCTTTATTTTTGTAGGCTGTTATGAATTACTTTCTCCACCTCAGAAGAGGGATTATAAAATTCATAGTGTTTCACTAAAAGAGTGGTGAAAATTTCTGCACACTGACTACACCTGAGCAAGCCTTCCTCCAGACAGCCTGAGTGGTTCTTTACAGTCTAACTTCCGTGTGGTGTACTTTTCATTTGGTAGACTCATTCCATGCTTGAAGGTCAGCACTGAGAAAAGCGTGCTGTTGAATGGAGTCCTTAGGGATTTGCTTTTCAAACTCATTTGCAGTGATTTTATGTGACATTTTGTCCTCTGATAGACAGAAAGATAAGAGAAAACAAGATCCAAATTACCTTTGTTTACTTGTCTTCTGTGGTAACCCAGCTTCTCTTAGCAATATTCTGACCAGAGTGACTTATACTTAGGGCTTCACTTATATTGCTGATGCTTTTATTAATTTGCATGGAAAACACTGCCTTATTTGTGCTGGCCCATTTAGTTCTCTCTGTGTCTCTCCTTGAATAGCATTTTAGGACAAGGACTGCCCTTTCTTAATGTCAGGAAGCCACCTTGCCACTTAGGTGTTGCTATAACTGAAAACCATATATTTTTTTAGTTTAGAAATATCCTCCCCTTCCACTCAGACCATCAGGGAGCCTTCTGGCAGTGAAATGGATGGTGCAATCAATCTGTTCCACAAGTATTAACCTAAGCCCTAATTTTTGCAGTACTTGAAAAAGTTTCTGGACTATAATAGCTGGCTGCAAATTTCCCATGGAAATAAGGAGTCATATAAATACATCATAACATTGAAGACATTGTGAAATAGCCATATAAGCAGAATTTTTTTTTTTTAAGCTTCTGTTTTTTTAAATGCGGTTAGAAGTATCCTCACTGTACAGAAATGTACACCTCCAGACAGAAGTGAATGTCTAGGGGGATCTAGCTGGCCTGCAGTTGTAAACCTGTGACTTCTCATTGATACATGGCGACACAGGCCTCCACCAATCCTTCCTCTTCAAAACAAGCAGCATTTGAATTTGTAGAAATAGGCACAAACAGGATACAATCAAAATGCAACTACTCTTGCTTTTATCATGGATAAACATAAAATTATAGTCAAATATCTTAAAATTAGGAGTGTTATTTGGAATGCAGCAATGTACAGTGATCATTTCCTTCTGTGGCACAGTCCTGTAAAACTTGTAATCAGAAAACAAACATTTTTCTATTAATAACAGGTTTAACTTTATACCATCTCCTGCTTTATGCTAAATGAAAATTTTAGGTGCTTACTTGTTCACATTTTGAAGTTGAATAGTTAAGCTGGGCTATCACAAAGAACATGCAACTGCTGAGACCCCATTGAACTCAGCCAAAATGAGAGAGACCACTTCAAATAAATTTAAATTTTCAATCATTCTTTCAGCTATAATTAGAAGTAATATTTTAAAACCTCCTATAGCTTTTTCTGGTGGATTTTTGGCTTCTCTGGTGAACATACTTCTTGAAAACAAATTCTTTCTTATGCTGCTGAAATCAGATTCTTTCCATTTGCATAGCTACAGCACCTCCCAGTTTCACAATGACTGAAATGTTGAAACAAGAGTTTCACCACTAGACCTAATAATTTATTGGTTACAAGTTAATTTGTTATGACCCATCCAATGAGTACAGGTTTGTTATGGGTTTTTTTGTTTCTCCAAGGGTCCAGCCAGCAACACATGTAGTATCTCAAAAAACATTCATTGAAGTTTTTTCACTTTTAATAGGTTATTACACATGCAAAAGAGGTTAGCAAAGTATATATGTTTTACATGCATATATATTATATGCATATAATCAAAACATATGATTTTGTTCATATGTTCACAAGTTCTAAAGGAAACCAGAGCTGCAACTAATCATTTCATTCAATGCATTTTCTTCAGTGAGAAAAGGAGCAAGGGTGTTCCGGTAAAGAGTCAAGATACCATCTTCATTTCATGTGAAGTAAAGTTAGACTTTCCTTCCAATCAACTTTTACTATCACAATCAACCTTTCCAACTCATCGTTTTATGGACTAAAGGATTGGGGAGTTGCATTCTCTTGACATCTGCCTCAAAAAAAAATGCATCTTTCCCTAGTGCTGCACACAAAAATACAAGGGGGCTTGGTTTCATTTTCTCTGAAGCTTGTCATTTGATCAAACAGATCCCTCACTACCTGATCTCTGTGCATATGTCTGCTTGTTTGTTTTTCTGTTTTAACTGGTGACAATCATGTGTATGTGTCATTAATTTCTTTGGTCAGACTCTTTCTCATCCATGTATCCTGTAATAAGGATTACCAACAAAGTAATCTTTCTCATCCATGTATCCTGTAATAAGGATTACCAACAAAGTAATCTATGCTAGGGTGGGAACTGTAGAAAATAATTGGGGTAGATCAAAACTTGGCCCTGTGGAAGGCAAAGGGAAATTTTCTCTCCAGCTCTAGCACTGCTGTTTCTTCTAGGATAAGACTTCTTTTCCAAACACCTCGTTCTGTGATCCTAGACCACCCCAATATGAAGCAAAGAGGGCCTACAATGTTTAACACAAATTAGCTAAGATGACCTTTGATTTTCCAATAATTTAGCATGCTTTTCAAATGAATAATTGGAGGTCATCCTAACAGAGATCAGCAGTGTTTGCATGTAACAAAGAACCAACAAGTAATGCTTAATTCCACCAGTGCACCTGAGAGCTGCAATTAACTAATTTGTGCAGCATCTGGCACAATCAGGACAGTAAAGCCAAGCATGAATTCTGCCTAAAATAAAGGTAGTGATAGTAGGCTTTTAAATTTTGATATTATATTAAAAAATTAACACATCTCATCAGGAAAAAGATAAAAGTCCTACATGGACTCTTTCAGGTTTTGTTTTTTTTTTTTTTCCCCTCTGTGTACAAAACATAATAGTTTTTTTTAGTCTAGAATTTAAATGGATGGGGTTTTTTTAAAAAACAAAAACAAAACCAAAAACAAACAATTTATCTTTAGTTACTTTTCTTATAGCTGGCTTACCAGCTGAAGTGAAATGAAGAGGTAGAGGCTCAGCTATACTGTCTGATATTGCTACATTACTTTTTGATTATTTAAGTTATTTACTGATTTTTCTCTCACGCACTGTATGCAGACAACTTGAAATTAAATGCAGAAAGGCAACAAAGAACATACAAAGTTCCACATGGATTAATTTTCTTTTCAAAAGTTTATTTGTTTAGCATAGATGAAAACTTTATCTTTTTCAGAATTAATCAAGCAAATAGAAACTTGTAGGTATTCTTTGGATAAATAATATCAGCAAGAGATATTGATGTTATTCCAGGCTATCGCTTTTGGACATAACATATGTGGACTAAGTACCATTCCAGAAAAACTTCACTGTGTAAAGCCTGTATTTTATATAGACAGCTGAGGCAATATAGAGACCTTCAGCAAGAGGGCTTGAGTTCATTGCAGGAACATGAAACTTAGTTATCACTTCCACATAAAGCCACCAGGATGTTTTCATAATCCCCTTTGAGTTCATCCTGTCAAATTAAGCACAAAAACCCACAACTGTTAGGATGATGGTCTCAAATGAAATAAATTTCAGTACCATTCAATATACATGTACCAAACATCAGTACTTCACCTAAATAAATTAATCACTTGGTAACACATATGTGTTAGCTACAGAGTGAGCTTGAACTGAGTACCCTCAGTGAAGTTATTCATGTGACCTAGAAATAAACAGATGCATTTCGAGTGGAGCAGAGGTAGACAGGCCAATAAAAAGTCCTGGGAAATCTCATGGAATAAATAAAGAAGAGACGCACAGAAGATTTCTGCCCAACCAGGTACATAAGCTTTTCTTCTCTAGATAACATGAAAATGCCTCCTTGACCTGTGTCCATTAATACTGACACACCATACACATTGTATCTAGGATTGTCTCAAACACAGGCTAATAGTACAGTCTTATTTATTCACCATAGGATTGCTTATTCAGCTTGGAAAAGTGGATAATATGCATTAAGTATGCAGTGTAATTATTACACACTATGTTTTCTAGATTTGAAACAACTGCAGAGACATATTAATTGTTTAGTATAGCCAAGTTACACCTCAAGCCATTTGGATGCAATCATCACTTTGGAACATGGTGAAGTGATGTAATTATATACCAAGTTACAGATATCACACGCTCATGAGGGAAGAATAAAAGTGAACTTTGGCACCTAACTGAAAAAGTATCAGACACCAATAAAAATCAAAAGGGCATTTTGATACATGTAGGAATTATGTTTCTATCCAATCAAGAAATTTTGGTTTTAGTGTTGTCTACTAGTTACACAAGGCTGCTTTGCAAGTTTAGCTTTCTTCAAGTCCCTCACTGATTTGAATTTCCCCTTTAAGAAGATTTTTTTTTTTTTTTTTTTTTTTTTTTTTTTTTTTTTTTTTAGTTTTTAGTTTTTCGTTTAACTCATTTACTTAACTTACTTGGAAAGCAGACTAAATAAATGTCAAGTTAACAAGGTATTTTCAGGAGTACCTCAAACATTAAAAAACAATAGCCAGTTGCATCAAATATCTCCCATAGAGCTGTAAGTGTAATCATCTCCACTCTTCTGCCAATGTACCTTATGTCTGCCCAAGTACAGGAACTTGGGGATACTGCAGTCTCCATTCAGTTCTCGGCTTCTACTGTACGATGATATCCTGAGACACGTACCACTACTAACAAATTGCTATCGTTTTCATGACAAAAACATTGCCCCAGAAAATTAATTAGTTCTACCAGCAGGTGGATCATTATGAACATGAGTTACTCAGCTACAATGAGTTACTCAGAATGAATGTTTGTCTGAGGAGCAGAAGAGTTAACAAACCCTTACTGGACTTCCAAAATCACTTGGTTTGCATTTCATACATCACCTGAGAGAAAACCTACCATAATGGCTTGGCGGAGAGAAATGCCATACAGCCTCTTGTAATAGCCTTTAATCTCATTCATATCCACTTCATGGCGTGAAACCATGATTCTGATGAGCTCTTTGTGCCGTGTCCCAAGTCCCTGTCAAGAAAAAAAGAGGAAAGAGGAAAGAGGAAAGAGGAAAGAGGAAAGAGGAAAAAGAGGAGAAAAAGAAAAAAAGATGCTACTTATGTCATTGAAACATCTTAAATCAAGTTTCTGTGTGTTATACCATCAGACTTCTTTGTGGGTAAACAGAGCCAACATCCTTTAACATCTCTTAAGAGGAAGCCCTCTCATGGACTCTCCCTTTCTGTTCCCTATGATCACAATTCACTTCTGATAAGCTACCTCCACCTCTGCTGGGTTTTTTTTCCACACCATTGCTTTTAGCTGTTTCCTAAAAAGAGGCACATCCCTCACTGTGCTTGCTAGACATCAGAGACAACTTAGACTTCACTGCCTTTTTTTATTATTTTTTTAATAGTGCAGTGAACTGTGTTTACATAATGTTTCACTCCATTTTCCAAGTCACAGGAGTTATGAAAATACCTGCATACTAGAGAATTTCAGGTTTTCCAGCTGCCTCACTCAACTCAGGTATCAAATTTACCAGAAGGCTCATGGATATCTTGTCAAAGATTAAGCTTCTACGAAGTTCTTGTCCAGATCTGTAATTGATTTCTTATTTAATTTTCACTAGTATTTTTGTGGTCTCATAAATAAGAAAAGCTCCAGTTAGCTTTTTGTCATTGTCTACAGTAAGAGAGTTATGTGTGGATGGACAGATGCCTTCCTGAACACACTATAGCAAACAGGCAGCTCCTCCTATGTAAAGGCACTTAGAGGTTTCAACAGAAGGAGAGAAATATACTGAATTTCCTTCTTCAGTCCTTTTTTATCACACAAACATCTTAGAGAGCTCTAGCTAGCTTGCTGTTTTTCAGCTTACAGAGCATATCATGTTTACAAAGATAAGTTCTTTCTTTAGGTTACCTTCATCGCCAAGTGCAGTTTTTCAGCAAAGAAAGCTGGCTTGCTTGTGGCACACTTTACTGTAATGAAACAATGAGAAAAGGTCACATCTGTTATACATGTAACAAGTAACAAAATGCAAAAGTCTGGAAAGAAAACACTTTAAAAGCAGTCTCAGTGTTCCTACCAGCAGATCTTATGTATCTTCTTTGTTACCTGTCTTCAAAATATGGGAGATATAGCAGTTTATTGCCTCTATCTATTCAGAAAGCAGTTCAGTCAGGAGACAATAGTTACTGTAAAGACAAGACTGCACTCCCTAGTCTACTGCCACAAAATTAAGAAAGATGTTGCAGTTCTCAAGGAAAAAAAAAAAAAAAAATTGAAAGCATTTGTGTCTTCTACAAAAGAGACAAAAGGTTATGATCTGATGTTTTGTAAATCAAGTTATACTAACTACTTGCCCTCCACTTCTGATATTAATAGGGATCTGATGGGACTCATTTTTTAATCCAAAATACGCTTGACTGTGATACAGAAGCTAAGAAGAACAAAATGGGTGTCTGGCTCCTGATTCCATCCCTGGTCCACTGATTTAAGTGAGTTACTGACTCACCTTATTGTTCATGAGGAACAGTGATGTTAAGAGCCTTATACACTTTATCACAAACCTCATAAGAACAAAACCTCAGAAATAAATTTGTTATATTTTTAATAATCATATATTATAAATGTCTTTGAAAAACAAAATTTAGAGAAGAGTGGGTTTAGTTTGGGGTTTTTTTTGAAGACAAGTTTAAAACTTGGATTTTTGAAACAAATTGTGCCTGTTCTGACAGCTCTTTTTGGCATATTGACTTCCTGTAAAAGTCTTCTTAGAAGACTTAAAAGACCTCTCTACATATCAAGAGAATATTTCATTGTTCTTTAACTTTAGTTATTTATCAACTTTAACTGACTTCAAATAACTCAAATCACTACGTTGGAATATATTTTCCAAACCTTTAGCAAGTTTCTCAATGTAGCAAGAGAAGCCCAGAATGGTTTCTTATCTGAGCAAGTATGACAGAAGTAAAAGGTAGGTTTTCATACCATCAGTACATATATATAGTAATTACAACCTACTGAACAACTTACCAAGGGCTGTCAGGCAGTTCTCAATATCACCTTTCAGCTCCAAATCCAGTACCTTGTTCATGTCATGCTTGCTGTATTTGGTGTACTTCTGAAAGACTAAACAGGGAAGAAAACTCAGTGAATAGTGATGAAAATATAGTGTTCTCCCTGCACTGCCTCTCACTTATTCTTGCCTCACTGCTGCTGCAGTGCACACAGATGATTAACTGTAGGCCATCTTTTTTATTTTCTTCAGCCAGCACAGTGTCAAGAGCAGTGCTACTGCATGGACTGGTGCAGTCAGCATCAGAAATGGGACTTTATTAGGACAGTAGGGTTCATGTCCCATTAGCTGGGATAGAGGTGGTCCAGTGACTCCACTGGAACCTGTGACGTTAAGTGATACCTCTCTACCCAGGGAAAACTGGCTGAGGAGCAAGACCACGTTGGGGAGCATTGAGAACCCCTGTCACACTGTCCCCTTGGCCTTGTGGCCACTAGCCATGTGACACTTCATGGTAATAGTTTTGTTAACAACCTATTTGATACTGCTCATCACTCATATGGAAATAATAGCCAAGCTGCAACTGCACCATTAGTCAGCAAGCATGTGTCCAATTAGAGACTTTTATAGCAGTCAGAGTCACGTCTTGATAATCTACATGTTCTGAGTTCATGAGCAGGCCATTTTCAAAATACCATATCAGCGAATGACAAAGTTTCATCCAACGTACCCCTTCGGAGATGTGGGTAGCTTCTTGCGGTAAGAACTGTAACAAACACATTAATATCTGTTCCTTTCCTTTTCTCTCCTGCTTCATACAAGGCCTGTCATAAAGAAAAGAAAGTAATAAAGTTAATATCAGTATAATAAAACTCAAACAGAAATACTGTACTTCTGAGGCTGCAAGGCAAAGGTAGGTCATTGCTTGACAGTAATGAACTCTAGCCCTTGACACAATCCATAACAAAACTCTACACAACCTCAGAGTAACTATCTCTATCAAGTAATACTTCATTTATGTCATAACAATACCTAGAGAACACTAGGCAGCTAGAAAACATGTTTTCAGACATTTTACAGTCACCACCTAGTCCTTCTGGGTATATTACACATTTGAATTAAGATATTTTTCATATATCATGATATGTTTACAGTCTGCATGGGAGTTTATGACTGGTAGGCTTTCTGCAGACAAACATATTTATCTTTGATATTAAATGGATAAATGTGAAGGAGAAGCCTACACACCAAGTACTCCTTTTCTTTCCAGAAGTGACTAATGGAAACTAAGAACCAAATCAGTCTCCTTCATTTTCCTCACCTCCTTAAACCTCTCTAGAAGTAGTAATTAAAGACCTCCACACAGCAGCAAAGGTTTAACAACACTCTCTCTGCACCAAGAGAAATAGTATTGAACTTTTGAACTAAAAGTATTAATTTACTGACCTTCCATATCTAGGGCTGACAACAAAACTAAACTCATTATGTAGCAAGAATAAAAGCAGTATTGCTCAATGGCCCTTGGTTGGATTTTTAAAAAAATCAATTTCAAGCCAATCTACATTTAAATAGCAACAGTGATGTAAGACTTTATGGGTGAAAACTCAGGAAAGACTGCTAAGGTTTACCAAGATTTTAACAAAAATAGTCACACTAATGATGGAAGAATTAAGAGGAAGATCAGTTGTTTATTTTAGAATTATTCAGAAAATGACTGTGAGGTTTACCCAACAATCTCGAAAGCAATAGCTATAGCTATCATACTGCAGAGTTCACACTGGTCAAGGTATGGTGCACAGTTCTGCACATACACAAGTACATCCTTGTTCTTCAATTCAAGAACTGTGTTATAAACAGAAGGAAGATTTTGTCTGATTTCTGTAAATGTTCACGTCTACTTCATATGGTCTGCATGCTTTACGTGAACTAGAAGAGGTCTTGCAGAAATGTTTCTGAAGCTAGATATTAGGGTGAAGATTTAATTTCCTTCAGATAACAAAGATTATGTGAACATTTTAAAACAGTATCGCCTCAGAAAAGATTGCTACATAACATATAAAACTCTGTTAGGTCTGCAGTCCACAAGATTCAGGTAGAACATTCACAGCCAGAGTCGGTAATCTCAGGTAAATCAGATGAAGCTCTGCAGAGTACCAAGTATGCTCTTACCCTGGCATCATTGTCAGCAAGCTCATCGTTCACATGACAATCCTCACTTCGGTCAGCCTACATAAATAAATTTTAAAAAAGTCACTGGTACTCAAAATTGTTCAGTTCACCAAAACTCAGCATTTTAGAGTTCTGCCCTTCCATACTCATACATAACTTAATATGTAATTGCTGATAGATACGATTGTGTCAATCATTCTGTGAATAAAGCTGTTGTATTTGTAATCAGTCAGAGCTCACACTTTTAAGGTCATCGCAATTTATTTCTGAAATCCTGTGTTAAAATCCACAGGAATTATTTGGTTTAGTGTGAAGTTACAGGCTTAGAAGCTGTGATTTTCTCCCTGATGACTATTCCATAGACTCCTTTCAAGCCGATTTGAAATCAAAAACTGAAAATCAAACCCATTAACATGGACATATCAAAAAATAATCCTGTGGGCATGTACAAGCTTTATATACATGTACTCAGCAATCATGGAATCATATATTTATGCATTTTAAAAGGGTCTTTTTATTGGGCAGCTCCACTGTTAAAAATCATCTGCTTTTTAAGATAAATTCACAAAATATTTTGTCCACTTGCTAGCTCCCTGTCCCATTATCAAACTACTACAAACATCATGCTTAACATCAAGCAAAATGTTTATTTCTATAATTGTAAACTTGGTTTATCTTTCCATTTCTAATCCATTGACATGGCATTGTCTGTTGTTTTTTTCATATGTTTACAGACATTTACCGTAAGAAAAAGTCTTAAAAGCACAATTGATAAAAAATAATAAACATCTTTTAAAATGTATTTGAGATAAAATCTCTTTATAGCTTGTTTAAGAACAATTTCATATGGTCTAAAATAGATAAGTAAAAAATCATGCAAGGAAATAGATACCACCTAAATCCTTATTTATTGTATGTCTTCCTCTAAAATAGTCTTGACAACATTGATTTTTTATAATGGATAATGTCATTCAAAATACTTAGGCACAGTATACCTTGGCTAGAGCCAGCAAAGCCTTCTGAAAGTCTCCAGATGTGTCAGAGATAATGTCTTGAGTCAGATCTCTCTTCAGCACTAAAATCAAAAGAATAAGGATTCATATTTGAAGTTATCAACTATATTGACTAGATGATCTTTAAATATCCCTTCCAACTCAAGCTGTTCTATGATTTTTTCAGCCTTTTCTTAATTTCCCACTTAAATATGCCCACTACAAATGCTGTTTTATTACTTTCTCTCATTTAGCTTCAAGAGAGGAGGTGTGTTTGTAACATGTCCTCTAATCCACGAGATGTGCTGTGAAATTGGAGGCTAAACCCAAAATCTTCTGAAAAAGTCCTTCTCCAAGGTGTTGTGGGTAGCATTGTCTTGAGCTCTTGCTTGTGAAGTACAAAAAAATCTTGAAACTGTTTTTGAGCCATTTGTCTTTCACTCTTATTTCTGATTGTTCTTATCAGCACTGAACTCAATCACAGAACTCTTCCAAAAAAATGAAAATATTAATTTGGGCTGAGACTATTTGAATGGAAATATCTTGGAAATGTTTGTAAATAAACTAAGAAAAAATTATTTAATTAGACAACACTGATAGACTGCAGTAAACACAACCATATATAAGATTGCCCCATTATGATTTAGTTATTTCTCTGAAGATTTTTCCCCTTTAGTTCACTACTAATGTTTTCTGTGTTGCTAAGTCAATAAACTTTTTTTCCAAACCTAGTGAGATCTTAAGAAGTCACCCATGGCTTAGTTACAAGAGAAGAAAAGCAACTGAGTTTTGCTTGCATTCTAGAAAGCATCTAAATGCATGGCCAGTTCCATGGAACATCTACAGTTCTGGTGGTCGTGATGTGCCTTTTCCTCTGTACTGGGATCTATGTAGATCAGAAAAAGTCAGTATTACCTCCCTCCCCTGCAACTCTTTCAATCTTATGTGAAGCTTCACTTGCCTCCTACAATGTCAGCTTCTCATACTGAGAAGTGGGGCTAATATATGATTAATATTTCTTTCTTGCTCTGAATTACCTTCTTTGTAGTATCTGCTGGCTTCTCTGATCTCTCTGTTGTTTCTTGAGGCCAGAATCTCGATTAAGGTATCTTCATCAGTTCCAAGCCCCTGATAAAAGTGATTGAACTTTTAGAAATGTAATTTGATACAGCAAATTTAAGATTTAGAAGAACAGAAATAAGATTAAAATCTTATTGGACTTGACTTTGAAGACCCCATGAAGAACAAGAAAGGAATATGAAAAGCATTGTGCTTCCATACGGTATTGCTGTTTCTGCTTCTTTTCAATTGATATCCAAAAGAAGTGCTAAAAGGGCCAAGAAATGCACATAAAACATAGGCATGTAAAATTTATGAAGAAAAATACTCCCTTCCCTTTTTGTTTTCTCCTATATAAACATACATGTAAACACTATGGCTTTCTACCACTACAGTAGCAACCAGTTTTCAGAAGGCAGAAAGAGTGAATAATAGAATCTCCTCCAACCCTGAATTTCAGCAGAGATTTCTGGGTCTTGTTCTTAGAACCCAGATTACCAGTACAGATTTATTGTACAAAATTGGGTTAAAATGAAGATAATGCACAAGCTTTGAAATCCAAATCCAATGTCATATACAGGCCCTGATAATTATTTATGCCCTCTAGAAAAGGTTTTCTCAGAAGTTTTTGCCTTACTTTCATAGAGGCTCTTAATTCTTCCGCATCAAATTGAACTGGAGTTTTAAGCAGAGCCACAACAACATCTTCCAGGTGGCTTTTCAGAACTTTTGTCAAGGCTTCTTGCAGACTCTGTGAAAGGAATAAGAAATACACTAAGCCAGTAAATGGTAAAAAGCTGCTGTTCAGCTACAGTCCAAAAATTAGCCTGGTCTCTCACTAATCTTAGTCTACATCATTCCTTTATCTTCTAAAAAAAATTGAAATTTTTAATTTGACACCTTTATGTTAATCAAAGGGTCAGGGCTTTTGAGTAAGTATTCAGGAGTGCTTTCACCCATTGCAGTTCAGCCAAATTCACCCATTTTTACAGTATCAGAAGAAGACTCAAAATAGGCTTTTTTTTTCTTTTTTTTTTTAACAGAGGTAATACTATATTATTGTTATGATTATGACTGAGTTTCTTATCTGATAACATTGTAATTCATCCATATATTACATAGAGAATAGAGAATTTGCAGTGAAATCTCTGTGGACATGGTGGAGAACAAGGCTGTAACTTTTAATGTTAACAAAATAGAGCACTGAGCATTTCCAGGAGGCAGAATAAATCAGGGTTGTTTTGTTTGTTTGCTTCGACTTAAATTTAGGTCAAATTAGAATGTAGCCCAAATCTTAACTTCAGGACTTGAATTTTTGTGTCGGGTGATGTTACACTATGTCCACAGAGTTTTCATTGCAAATTCTATGTGTCCAGGTTGTGGCTCTAAGAGTGAGAAGGTCAACTTGCTTTGTCAGGGTACCTAAACTAATGAGATTATTTCAGAAGCAAGCACTATGTCCACAGTTAATTCTCTTCTGCTTTACATGGTGTGACAGAAACCAGGATATCTAATAATTTAACAGTATTAGTCTCCCCATGTCTTTGAAATTACTAATTTAGGTCTTTAAAAAATATAATTGCAAGGCTGAGTCTTCCTCTGAGGGGGGAGATGGCTGTGAAAATCACAGGTAAGGTTTTCTGAACAAAAACAGGTAATCTAGGCTAAAATGAGATAATAGCCTTATTTTCTAAGTTGGCCTTTAAAAGGTACATTCAAATAACTCATTTTCCAATGAGCAAATGCTCAGTAACACTGGTATGCCAACTGTGTAATTGTAATTTCGAGTTACAGGTTCAACTTGAAAAAGTTTGTTTTTTCCAGAAATATGCAGAAATTTCCAAGCTTCTCAGTTCCAGGGACTAGCAGTTCTACCACTCAAGAGGTAGAACATTGCACCCTGTATACCCATACCTATACCAATGTTTGTATACTTGTGCAGCAGTGTTATGTCTACAGCTTTCCCATCCTAATTAGTATTCTATCTGGGCTTAAATATTTGGAAATGCCTCAACGTCCCCTTCTGCATCCCACCCTTTCAGCAGACTCTCTCCCAGGTGGTAATGACATCTCTTCATTCCCAGTGATTTAGTGATTTAAAGGATCTCTAGCTCATTCAAACATCTGGAAAGTCAGAACTTCAGAATTTTTCTTATTTCAGAATAGTGGCCACCATATTCAAGCTTGACTTAAATATACTTTACCTTTCCTTTAGCCTGCTGATAGGCAGCCTTGATCTGCTGACGTTGAGCATTTGTTCTTTTAGTCAGGATGTCAATGATGGTGGCTTCATCCACACCTATGAGTCACCAAACAACAAAATGTCTACTATATTTGGAAATATAACAGTGTCTAGTGCATCATTTAGCCAAATATTTTTTTTATATATAATTTACTTTATGTCATATTTTGATTTCTTGACACAGTGAAGTTTAACCAAAGGAAATGTTGTAATCTTCTACTGCCTTATAATTAGTGATGTAGTGAAAAAAACCCAAATAAATAGATTCCCATAGAATATAGAAACTTATACTTTACAGTTTCATACAGGAAGTCTTAAAGTCTTATGAGCACAGAACTTACACTACAGAATATGTTTAAAAAAAAAAAAAAAAAAGTTAGATGTCATACTCATTTAATCTCAGTAAATCAAATGGAAAAAGGTTTCAAAGTACAGGCAAAATGCCAAATGTCAACTTCATTAAAGGAGAGAAGCGCAAGAGAAGCATACATTACATTATCAGCATATTCACTGCCTTTTGCTGGGATTTCATGGAAATCAAGTCAAAAAGTATTAGTATGGTATGTTATAATATATTTTTGTTCTCTAGAAATTAAATTTTTACAACCCTTCCTTCAACATATTCAAGAACTGTAATGTAGTATTAAGGTCTGAAATCGTAACACAACATCAAGATATCAAACAGTTGAGATTCTTTACCAAGTGGCATAATTTAATGTATTGTCAATCTCTTAAAAGCAGAGTCATCTCTCCTGCTTGCCATTGACTCTCACTCTGATATTTTATTCAGTGCTATTCTCAACGTTTCCTAAGGAAGAGTCCTAATGTATCAGATTAAATATTTACTCCTCCTACCCTTTACAGTAATAGCTTTGTCCAAAGCAACAACATCAGCTGATGGATCGAAGTTAGGGTATGACTGTACTCCGGGTCCACCTTTAGAACTTTTCTGCAGGGGGGAAGAAAAATAATAAATTGCTCATTCCAAAGAATATTTTTGCAAATAAACAGTTTTAGATGCTTAAATAAACCATGCATTTGGGATTGCCTATTATAGGACTATCAAGGAACATACACAGTACAGTTTTGTAACTACAGAGAACTAAACAGAATCAGTAATGGATATGCATTGGATCTGTTCCTTTCACATGTCTTATATTAAACAGAAAGTACTTCATCAATTGGTTTAGGTACCTGAAGATCTTCTCAGAGTAAGTTGGATTCCACAGGAAAACACTTCTTAACTGTCTTATTAGGCCGTTATGTCCAAATTTTAAAGGCCCTAAACCAATAATTCAGTCCTACAGGTACTGCCATTAAAGTGCTACTAATTTCTTTGCTCACCTTATGCAAATGACCTGTGCATCACATTAAGTGACTTCTCAGCTAACTCATATCTAAGGCTATAAGCACTTCTTGCATGGAGAGTTCAAGCCTAATCCTACCAGGAAGTGGAGAACTGTTACCCAACTTCTTTGCAACTTGAGGCATAACCACACTTTCTTCACAGGCGTTATCTACTGGCTGCCTTTGGTGAATCCACTCCTAGATGGGCACTCCCTTGTCAACATCTAAAGAGCTATGGGAATAACTAAGCACAAAGAATTCCACTATGTGGCAGATTATGTGGCTTGCCCTAAATCAACAACATGACAAATCAAGTTACTGGTAGGGTTTATAAGCCAACAGCACTACCTAACCAATATCTACTTCTTTTACAGAAACTATAAAAAGCCCTAAATTTCTTGGATGAAATTTATATATAAAATTTCCACTTGTATAGTACATGGTGAGACTTTTTTATTAAGAATAAAACAAACACACTAGTGTAGCTGAACTTTTTCAGAATCACCTATATCCTCTCTATTTCAACAACTCACTATTTGAATTTTTTTAAATCCTTTGCAACTAGAGTTAAATAGCACAAGAGAAATGGCAAAGTCTTATGGATACATGTTTTACATACAGTATTCTGTACTGATTTTTGTGCACTTCATGATGTTTGATAATTGAACATTCAAATCCCTACACAATTGGATCACTAGGACTTATAAGAGACCAGAGGGATTTTTAAGGCAGTGTCTTGAATGCTTTTGAAAATATCACTGTGACTTCCGTGGTAAGTCAACAGAGGAATGGAACTAGTTCGCTGTCTGTTTCCCAGGCACAACAGGTTAGTCTCTGTATACTGATTTCCATTACAAACTTATCTGCTAGCAATAAAAATCTGTCTGTAACCATGTCAATCAGAATAACTCAGGACCCTGGGAGTGCAAAAGGGATAGGGTGGGGGAGCCAAAGGTTTATGTTGTGGAGTCAAAATTAGAAAATCCACAAAGATCTAGAGCAGAAAAATTTACTTATTGAAATTTCCCTCCTATGTTCAATATTTTGAAACGTGAAAGTTCTTTCAAAATCTCCTGGGACATCACAATATACAGCTTTACCTTTGCTGACGGTCATTTCAGTATCTTAATCAATTTATTTATCACAGATTGTCCACATCTTCCTAGTGTAGTAACTCTTGACTTCTCACCATAAGCCTCCCTTCTAATCAGTATCAGTACTGATCATCTGAGATGTTTTATTATACACCATGACTCTTCCCACTCTAAGCTTTGTATCTATGATACAAAGACTAGGACAAACACTAGTGACTTCAGTTCGTCCTTTACATTCCTGGGCTCCAACTCATGGCTTCCTGTACCTCGGTCCAAGAGCTACTATTTTTCTCATGTACATCATCTAAACATGTTCCTACACATTGACACACCTGTACAACAGATTACTACCTTAAAGAGGATGATTTGAGTGAATCAGTGATTGGCCACTGGAATTACAATTTCATTACAGTAACTAGCTCTGCCTAGGAATTGATAACTAGACTGATATGTGCAAATAAGCATAATGTTTCATCTGATAACAGCCTTACTAGTTTATTAGATTAATTATATGCTGCAATAAAATTGTGTTCCAGTTCTAAGCTGCTTGAGTTTTGTCATTGTTTTTCCTCGCTTTGACTATATAAAAGACTTTTGGTGGCCTATGCCTTTAAATCACTTCTAAAAGTATTTGAAAATAGCATGATGCTCTCAAAAGGTGGTAATACTTACAATGCATTCCTGCTCCTGGTTGTCCATGAACCATGCTTGTTTCAGAAATTCTGACACCATGGCCATGTTGACAGTTTCTGTGAAGAGATGCATCAAATCACAATTTTTCATTTTGCACCAGTGCAAGACAAGGTTTCCCAGTCTCAAAATTCTTTCTCTTCAACTATGTTATGCAGGGGTTAGTTTCCCAAGCAGTAATTGGCCTGTGCTACAGGAAGAAGGTAACTTTTAGGTCTGGCAGGTGACACAGTGCTCCACAACTTCATGCTCTTCTACACCCTTAGCTACTTGCAGAAGTTTTAGATTAGAAACAGAACAGTAAACTAGTTGGACTATTTGCATATTTACTATGGCAATACCTAAGCATTAGCACTGACTTACAAAAGGAAGTTAGCAGAAACGAATTTAAGTCTTTCTCCATTACTTAAGGTATCAGCTTAGGTTACTGAGTATTGGAATCTCTTCAAATTCAGTCGTTAACAAATATTCTTGTCTGATCATTTACTGGGGTTGGAGCTTTTGTGTGTGATGTTAAGACTAAAGACAATGAAATATACTCGTTAAATATACTCTCATGTAATTTCTTTGACTAGCTCCTTCCTAAGAAAGATGAGTAAAATCAGTTTCACCTACATTCTTACATATTTCTTACATATTTCCTCCAATTTCTACAAACAAGTACTACCCCTTTAAGAAGAGAGAAAAAGTCATTTTTTCATCACTCAAAATGAAAATCGGTGCAGCTTTTCCATGAGACACCATGCAGAAGAGGAAAAAAAAGAGTAATGGTAATGTGATTTGACACTGAGCACCCAAAAATAATGAATGGGTTGCTTTATAACAACTTTTGTGTGAGGAATATTCTGTTTGCTAATAGGAACAGTGAGGGAACAGAGCTAAATAATGTTTTATCAAAGAAACTAATTTTGGTGTGCTCAAAAGAGATTTTTTTGTGGGTTGGTTTGTTGTTGTGGTTTTAAAAAACAAACAAACAAACAAACAAACAAAAAAAACACAAACAAAACAAAACAAAACAAACAAACAAACAAACCACAAAACCACACTACCATAGCAAACTCTACAGAAGGCTTGGTTTTAAAGCATACATATAAACAGTAAACTAATGTTGCTAGGTAAACCAGAGTGTCTTTGAATCTATGGTGAAGAGACAAGATGCTATCTGCAGTCTCGGGGTACAGACCATATACATGAGTATCAAAAATGATGTTGTTTATTCTGCAAATTCACTTGCCTTACTTACGTCCTTGTGTCCCATAGGAAGGACAAAGAGAAGTCATTTAAAGTCACACACACCTAAGACCAAGCAGTGCAGCAGCAGCCTAGCTGCTTCTTTCCCTCATAGTAAAACTGTAAAACGTACTTGCCACGTTCAGCTGACAGCAAAGTGAAAACTACCTCCCACGGCCCTTCTCCAGCCCTCCAGATCAGCTACACCCTTCCCTCCCCAAGGCAGGAGGGGGAGGCACTCCCCCTTCCCCAGAAAACTCCCTTTTGTGGCCTTCTCTCAGCCCTAAGGGCACAAAATTGTGCTCTGCCTGTTCGGCTAGAAAAACTGAAACTGACTCCGAATCTGTATGTTACTTAAAGCAGCTGTCATCTGTGTAAATAATGGTCAAAATATTGGGTAAATTTTAAGGACCAACTTTTATGCACATGTCATTTATCGGGGATCAGATTACTTATGTTGCAATTACAAGCAGCATTTTATCAAGCTGTTATAGTGACTCCTGTACCCTTCCTGTATCAACAGAAGAAGCATGTAAGGCCAGATAAAGTGCTATAGTATCTAAATTTCTGCTGCATTTTATAACAGCACGCATAAAGGCTATATGCAGGAGGATGAAGACATTTTGTAGTCTCCATACTAGGTGCACTGAGTCACCGACAGTGACACATACGGATATGTCTGTTGACTGAATAGATTCACAGAGTGTATAATCATTTGAAACTAAGAAACAACAGTCACTCTCACAGCATCAGATCTGAGAAGAGGTGGACAAAAATTGCTTTTTCATTGATACAGTAACACTTCACAGGGAGCATTGGCTAGCTCCAAGGAAAACTGCTAACATCTTCTGTCTGTCCTCACCCCATACATCACACCCAGCTCTAAAGGTTTTTCTGCTCTTGAGGATGACTAACTAGAGCGGAAGGCTGCTAGCCTATGCTAAATTTGGTTTATTAAATCTCTAAACATTTATGTTTATTCTAATTTAAATTACAGATACAGTAAAAGAATCCCGTGCCTTTAAAACTTTTTTTTTTTCTTTTTAAATAAAGACACTTTGGCACATAAATCCATCTATTTCCATCTAGTAAACAAATAATACCATTTTAACAAAATTCAAAGTAGTCAATGTATGTTGAGAGGGTCTAAAGATCTTATGCTGCTTAAATTGGCTCAGAAAGTTAAGGAAGCACCTTACACATAAAATTGCCTGCTTTATAGAAAACTATGGCTAATAAGAAAAAAGAAGACTGGAAACTAGGAAGACAGCCAGCCCCCTGACAGAGTCAAGATCTTTGTCAATGCTTTAACTCAAGCCACTCTAAAATGCAAACAGCTCATATAAACTATACCTATATCCAGGAGGGATAAATTCAGTTAAAGTATTATTTTAATTTAGCATGAAAAGGACTGGAAGAACTGATGGCTTTCTGCCATATATTTTCCTCTACTTTTGAGCTCAGGTCAAAGTCTATGAACAGAGAGAGGAAAAATATATGCACCTACAGAGTGGTGCAAACTGAAGGTACTGTAGAAAAGAGTAATACTTCTTTCTGCATACTCTATACCAAATGCATATTTGAGATTTATTCTGTTTAATAGATTATTGTCCAGGCCATCTGTCCCGCTTTCCAATCTGGAATGCGTATATGTCCCATGTAAAAGCAAATGATCAAAAACTTAAAATTTCTCAGTTTGAAATATACTACTATTTTTATATATTTTATAATTCCTAATTTGAATGATCAACATTGCAACTGGAATGAAAAATCAGAGATACAGACTGAAAGCCCTAAGTGTTGCTTCGTAAGAATTACTGCAATATTTCTTTCTGGCTGGCTCCTACTTCCCAGAAGATGCACTCTTGAACCAGACACATGCAAGATTTTTAAAGTTTTGAGAAAATAATATTTGTTGAAAATATTTAAAGGCACAAACTACATTCTGTGTCAAACCACACCATTTCTCCTTGCTTATTTAACCATATCATGAACTATATCAGATATAACATCTCTGGTTACTTTCTAGTGGTACTTACCAGGATCTTCATGTAAATTTGCACCTTATCAGAAAAACAGGCAGTGAATCTAACAAAATAATTCATTTTACACTGGAAAACCTACTGAATATGAATGCAAACATCAGAAACATTCTCATCCTTGGAAAATTCAGTGGAAAGTTTTAGCAGAACAAACTCCAGATTATACAACCCTTACTTAATGTGGCTTTGACTAAGTGCTTAGTCACAAACCCGCAGTTTTGCTTTATGTTTGGAAAAGATTACTTTTCTTTATTTCCATCACTTGCTTGAGCAAAGACCCCTCTACAGTTCCAAAGCAGCAAACTGTTGTTGAACAACAGCTGTTTCTAACTTTCCATACAAAGCACATTAGTCTTCCAGGAACTCCAGTTTTACTGCAGATTTTTACAGCAGCCTATTACAAAGGCAAAGAGAAAGCATAGGAAACAGTGAACTCCAGATAAGCTTAATTTTAATTTTAATTTTTTTTTTCAACACATTAAATAAAAGTAACAACCATCCAAGCCCTTCTGTGTTCATGAAACATTTCAAAACTGAAAGAATTTCTCCTGCCCACACCCATCTTTTCTTGCCAGCAACTCCAACTCACAGAATATTGCACCAGGTCACTTGACAAATTTAGTGTACAATTCTTAAAGTTTGTCTGGTCTACAGAGAGCAGCAAAGAACTATGAAAACATACCTTCTTCCTCACAAATAGTACTTTCCGGGTGGCACAGTCAGGAGTAAGAGAGAAGAGGGTTCTCAATGCTTTTATAGCACTGCACAAGAGACCCCACCTAGCAACCAGTGTTTCCACAGCCCCAACAACCATCTGGCCTTTGCAGCAGCTAAATCTGGGTGCTGTCCAAAACACAAAACCACAGAAAAAAGTCACTGCAAAACTATGTGCTGGAGAAAGCAAGAGCAGATTTCAGAAGGGAAAAGACAGTGAATGAGCATGCCATGGTAGTTCTCCTCCCCTGTCATGGCCACATCCCTCACTGTAGTAAATTGTCATAAATCTTTCAGGATCATAAGACTAAAATGTTAAAAAAAATTAAACCTCAGTTACTCCCTTTGTATTTTGACATGTCTGATACCACTTCAAAGTGAATATATTAAGACACATCTTTGCTCAGTCAAATTTTGAGAGAAAAAAGAGTGGAGAAGAGTCAATGTGGCTTCCACGCTTCACTGAGCTCTGATGGCTATTAGCTGTGCTTCTTCTGCACATGAGTCTGTGGCAGAAATCGTTCAGGAATAAGACATATCTAAAACTTAATATCAGTACCTTTTTTTTTTTTTATTAGTTATTTTTTTTTTAAAAAACCCGAAACACCTAGAAACTGGCAAGCTTAATAAAAAGGCAATAAATGGCACTTACATAGTTAAAAAGAGGTTGAAACATTCAGATTAAACTGTGAAGTTCAAAGTGAGAATGGTTTGCACAAGATGAGGAAGTTTGCCAACCTGCTAGAAGAGTTCTTCTGCAAGCACTTCCTCACTAAACCAGCCAAACACATTTTCCAGAACATGTCCAGCATAGCAGCACCATGCAACCTATCAGTAACATCTCAGATTGGCCTGGTACATGATGCTCGGTGGAGAAATACCACTTCCCACAAGCACTTGCAACTAGCAGATCAGTCTCCCTGTTGACTGTCATCCTGATTTCTGCTGATCTGGACCTGATGCAACAGACTGGTACCTCCAGAATGGGAAAGTATGGCTGACTTGCCTCTCACGAACACACATGAACTGCAGTCTACCCTTAAAACCCAAGTATAGTAATTAATAAAGGGAGAAGGAAGGGGAACAGACTGATGGATAGCCTTAGAATGGACACAAATTTCTCAAATGTAGCACATCATTGTATACACAATCCAGCATTGCTTATGACTTTCTCTGCTTAAAAAAAGCTCTGTAGAAAGTTTGGGCCCTAAATGCAGCCCCCCCAACAGGGCTTGGTTGTGGGTGCTGGGAGTAAGCTCAGGATCATCACAGCCAAGGAGTCCCCATCCCACCTGGTGCCCACTAGTACTGTGGGAGGCAGTGGCCAGGCCACCCCAGCCTTCAGCTACAGCCCCAGCACTTGGCCCCCACCTGAGCCACAGTGCAACTGCCTTGCAGCTGGGCTGGGACTGGCTGTGGGAGCTGGGCTGGGCCCAACCTAGGTGTTCCATCTCTCCCCCTTCTCCTTCCATCTGTCTTGATCCTGACCGGGGTGGTAGGGCAGGAGGGGCTGCCAGGCCTTTTCTTGCCAACCCTGAGAGGGACCCTACCCCACAGGGTCTTGGCCCCCAGGCAGCCCCCAGCTCCCACAGACAGTTTCCCAGCACGTTGTTCTTTTCTTTTTTTTCCTTCACATTTCCCATGTTAACAAAGGTATTTCAGATATTTTCAGAAAACTGAATAATTGAAGGGGCCCACCAGCTGACAGTGATACTGTAGGTTAGGTGCCAGGTTGTATTTGGGTGTGTTTATTTAATTATAATGTGTGAAGTTCAGATTACTCCAGCCCTCCTGACCTCCATGTCAGTACAACACTACCAGTCTTATTTCACTGGTGGCAGATGTTAGCCAAAACCTCTGTTTACACTTTTTTTGAGTGGCTGTTTCCCTTGTCTATTAATGAGCATGGCTAATTACATTCTTTTTATACTGAAAATCTGGAAATCTGTGCATATCCCTAGTGCACCTAGCTGAGTCTTTTGAAGTACGGAAATAACCTAGAAAGCTGTGTTACACATGCTCAGACCATCTTTATAAGCTTTTGGTGTTTTCTCAGTAAAGAAAATAGTACAGCAGTATTTATTGCAGGCCTATAAGGGTATGAATCAGTGTGTTACAAGTATTTAGTAAGACATTCTTCCACATTGACTCTTTTTTCTAATATGCTTTCTCAATAATTAGACTATTATCCCATTTTCATCATAGCAATTTTTCACCTTTTTTTTTAATTGTATTGTCTCTCAGACCTGTGTTTCCCCTTTCAGAGTGATCTGACATGACAGCATTGGGCTACAACTCATTGCAGGAGCTGCCTGCATTTGCTTTTCCTGTCTTAATGGGAGGGGAGATGACTCACTGTCTTCTCTCTTCCTGAAGCTGGAGTGAATCACTCATCTGACCTACAGAGCTTTATTGTGCAAAATGCTTACATTTAAAATATGTAATTTATCTGGAGGGAGCTTCAGTGTTTATTGTTAAGTTTTTAACTATAACTCCATCATTTGTTTCATAAAGCTGGAACAGTTTGTGTATTGTTTATTATTGACCTAGTATTGTTTATTCAGAAGTGGCAAAGCACACAGCTATTGTCTTAGTATAAATGAGACAAAAATAAACTTTTTTCTTTTATACTCAATGTGACATCTCTCAGATACTGCTAGTAATACTATTCTGATACAATGGTCAACATAGTGTGGAATACAGGTGCTGCTGAGAGAAATTGAAATGTTCAGTAGAAATAGAAAAGAAAAATACCCCGTTTCGGTAAACTGTCAGATTTGACCTTGCCAAATATTTCTCTTGAGGGTTGTGATAACAGCTCGAGTGGGCAGATGGAGTTTCCCCAAGCAATCTGTCCTACACAAGACAACAGCAAAATAAATCAGGAATTTTGCTGGAGGTTGGGAGAAAGATCAGCAGCCCTTACACCTATTTTAAAGCTGATTCCCTCTCTGCTGCGTTTGTTCTGCCTGGGATGCCTTAAAGAAACTTAAGTTTGGGGGTATGTAGGAGAGAACCATTGTACCCACATGCAGCTAAACAACCCCAATTTACAAGTGAACTTCAGATTACCTGTGAGATAAATATTAAGGGGAAATTAATGCGAACAAATTGAGTTGTTATGAAATAGCATTATCCTACAGGAGTTCCTAAGTGCATAAAGTCTGACAATACGTCGTAAAACAGAGCTCTGATTGTTTATTTCTCACCAGGACAGTCAACTATTTTGAGCCAGCTAATAGCAAACAAGAACCACCTGGAATCTGTCTCTCTAATCTTTTGCACATTGTGACTTCATTTATCTTCAGTAGGTTTTATCCAAATCCCACAAAACTGAGGAGAAATACATTAGTCTATTCCCTTAGACAGCCAGGACCTGCAGGGTAACCAGCTGTACTCAGATTTCAAGTAATAGAGACAATGATATGGATTATATAGTTCTAAGAGCATGTAATGTCACAGCTGTATGAGTTAGAGGAGTCCTACTGAAGGATAAGACGTTCCAGAGCAAAGCTATTCCAGAGCAAAGTTATTCCTCTAACATGTCTTTACCAATTCCTGTACAAATTCCTGGTTTAGGCAGCATGTCTCAGTTACGTTACTGAGAAAAATATATTTTCTACATACTCCACATAATGTACAGTGCCTTCACGTACCTTCATCTCTTCCTTTGACATTACAAATGATTACATTTCAATGTCAGTGAAATCAGCTATGCTATCTATTTATTTGCACCTAATCTGCATGATAGGTCCATCTGGAGTCAGACTGTGATTTTGGGTATCCTCATGATCCTATACCATGGGCTGTGTGGCACAGAGCTTCAACTCTGGACACAAAACTTTTTTAGTTTCATTCTTAAAGAAAAAAGAAAAAAAAAAAAGGAATTCATGAGACAATCAAAACTGTGTAATACCTCTTACGGCTTCTCTGTTGAAGGATTTATATTCATTAATGTATTATTACCCATTCAGATTATGTTTCAGCTACGGACCTCTCTGCAAGCTTGCAAATAAGGAAAATATCCATTTGTGTCTTGATTCTGATTCAAAATAGTTAATAAATATTTTTGAGCAATTTTCTAACTGGGATTAATTGTATTTGGTTTTGTGTTGCACAAAATATTTATCATTCACCTCTGTCTTTCATTATGGGTTAGTCAATATTTTGTTAGTGCCTCATGAAATACTGAATTGGCATTGATCCTTTGGCAACAGAACCTCCATGCTTTAATCAAACATACACCTGCTTGTATAATTAGCTCTAATACCTACACTTCACTTAGTTGCAGTAAATACCTTTCTGAAGCTCCAGATATTTCTGGATGTGTAAAGGGATTTTCTGAACCTCATGGTGAACCAAAGATTATCTATCCAGAAGGCACAAAATGTTAGTGAACTGCCCCTTACATAAAGAAATAAAAAATAGCCTATTCTGTACTAGGAACAGGCAGAATAGGTGTGTGTGAAGTCATGCCAAGATTTTTAGGAACTAGAAGTCCCATTCAGCTTAAATGAGCATAAATTTTGTCACTCATTTTAATGGAACCGGGAATTCGTTTTAGGGGTGCAGATTGAGAAACACTTCTGCAAGCTTTTTCAACTTGTCAGACTGCCTTCCAGGCATGAGCCCTGACTCTGCTATGGTTGTGTGCCAACGTAATTTATATAAGGAAAATCTGGACCTTCTAGGAAGCCTCCAGGAAAAAATCCTTGGAAACCCTGGTTACACAAATCCTCCTCCATATCACAGTAGAGCAAAACAGACCTGTATGACGATGAAGGTGTGACAAAAATAGTAAATCACTGGGGAATATATAACTCAGTACCCATGCATTGGGAAGTCTAAAGGGACAAGGCAAAGAAGTAGGAACACATAAGCTTTTTACTGTCCTGTACATCTATAATGCTAATCAGAGGATGTCATACAATAGAAGGAAACACAAATGACAGAGCTTTACTTTAAAAAAACTGAACAATGTATGACTACTGTGGAAAGCTCAGTGGTGTTAATGGAGAAAAGTCTTGTGAAAAAAAAAAAACAAAACAAAAAAACAAAAAAAAAAAAAACAAAAAACCAGGAGAACTGGTGGCATGTCACAACTGATCCTAGGAGTGGAACTGGGCAGTGTCTTCCAGTGATACTAAGAAGCAGGATAAGCAGTCCTCTGTATCTTAAAAGAGACTGAACCTTGTAGCAAAATTATGTCATTGTAACTTCAAAGAAATGAGACAAAACTAACTAGCAAAACTTAATGAGCAGAGGAACTACCTGTGGTGTTGCAATGTGTAGGTTAAATTTATCAGGTATTAAAGCTTATTAGCTGTTCTGAAATTGATTTCATTCTCCAAAGTAACTTTACACATACTGCCATTTCTGGGTTCTGTTTTTCCTTTAAAGAAAATTAATGTATTAAACATTTCCAAATATATCCTTAGCAAACTTTGCTGATTTTGTTGTTCCTGTATGTTGAAATGAATACCAGTGAGTGATTCTATTGGCACTAAACAACCAGATTAAAACAATAAAGCATATTTTACTCCCTAGCTATAATAATGAGTGAGTATCATATTCTGAAGCTTCAGAATCACTTCAGTCAGGCTGAGACCTGTTCAGAGTGGTGTAGCCTTGGCTTGGCTCCCACTACCACACAGAAACAGGAATGACATAAGAATAAATTGTTTGGTCATAGTCTACATTCAGGGTGTGATAAGAAGAGTCATAAAAAAATGAGGAAAAGAGACATTCATTTTTCTCTTGTAATATCTGTTCCCAACTGTTCCTATTATTAACGGAGAATTGTTGTGGTTAAAAGTTTTCCAAGATAGACTGCATGTTACTATTTCACTGAGTTGTTTACCTGCCAAAATTAGGAGTAAAATTTCTGTGAAGAACAGACAGAACTAACTCATAATTAGTCAATGACTACAAAAACCGATTTCCTGCTATGGAACATTAGAATAGCTTCACCTCAAACAAAATTAAGCTCTTCCTGGGCTTTTGCCTCAAATCTTCACAAAAACAAGGTACAGATAGAGAACAGTCTAAACTGCAGCACTCCATCTGAAGATATACTTTTTCTGACCTCCTCCCTTTCATGTGTTTTCTGCTCGATTTAAATACAAGCTTGTTGACTTTCATCAAAGGAACTTGTATCCAAGGGATTTGTTACAGACTTCTGTATTCAGTTGTTGAACAGCATTGCTTGATGTGTTTCCAGCTAAAAATCCAGAAAACTCCTGTTTCTGTGGTTTTCCTTTACTGAAATCTGGATTGCTTCAATGCCATTGATGCTTGGGAAGAAATACCACATAGAACACAATAGATGACATGATGCGAGTCATAGTTATTCATGAGAAATTTTAAAGGGTTTAAGCTTGTTTCTATTTCAGAGAAGAAACTTTAAGGCATGTTTGTATTTGTTATAATTTGTCCCATTATAGAACTGCCTAAAGGTACATAACTCAGAGCTTGATTTGAATCTGAGTTTCCTCAAAGGGAAAAGGTGCAGATGTGACATTTCAAATGTGGCCCAATTCTATACTACACTAAATTATTTTTCCCTGAAGCTGCTACAAGGTTTTCAAGAAAATAAAAGTTATTTGGAATATACAAAGAGGAACATGAGATTCCCAGCTCTATAAATTTACTTTCTCATAATTATGCATGAAATTTTATTTATACCAAAATACCAGAGGCATGAATGGAATAATGAGACACAAGACAATGCTGGTTTAAGAAAAAGACATATAGTGTAATTAACTACTAAAGTGATTTTTTTGAAGTGTGGTTTAAACAAAAATGTAAAGCACAATTGTCAGGTAAAGATTCTTCCTAACATAAGCCTGATAAGAACACCATCCAGAATGAAAGTACTAAAAGGAGTGATCCTGTGGCACAGTCAATCTGTTTTACTGTGTTTGTTTAATAGCTAGCACAGTCAGGTTCTAAGGCTACTACACACCCCTTAAAATATTAAGTAAAGCAAAAAACGTTGCAGTGTATTAAAAAAATGGAAGTAGAAACATAAAGTACCATAGTTAAATATAACTTGGAGCCAAGTCTTTTTCTTCTTTGCCAGTTTCCTCTTTTTAGAAGTAGCTGTAGTTCTAATTCTATGTCATATATCTGTCAAAAATAGTTTTATTTTTATAAGGTTACAATTTTTTAAAATCAAATACCCTCAGTTGTTCAGATGGTTGATTTTCTCTTGTTTTTTTTCTCCTTTTCCATTCTTCTCTTTTTCCCTCTGTAGAAAGATGGGGGGAGGGAAAAACAAAATCATACCTTTATATTTTTGATTTCATAAAAAGAAAAATCACATAAAAGTTATTTTTAAATAAGGCAAGTACTCTTTCAGGGAAACCTCTTATCTAGGTCCCATATCATGTTATATCCTTCACAGCTTAGTGAAGTTATTAAAAATATCACATATTCAAAATAGAACACTAGAGAAACTAGTCATACAAATTAATTAGTTGTGGATTATTTGGAAGAAGATTGCCAATGAACCTGCTTCTTATAAACTCACAGTGAAACTGCTTGTTGAATTAGTGATACCAAAAGCCTTCCTTTTGGACAACAATCTAATGGCAAGCTTTTGTTTTTAATCCTTTTTAAACATAAGGGTGGGGTGCAGAACAGCAGTAAAGGAAAAATCCTGAGCCACTGGTCGTGCCTGCCTAAACTGGACCACACCAGCCTGTGAACGGTTTATTCTGTATTTGCTTTTGCAATTGCTGAGTAGTACTTGCTTCTCCCAGTTCCTGCTGCTGTGTTATTCATATTAATATAGGAATATATCATAAGTTGTGTGCCTGGAGTTATTCGAAGAGAACAGCATATTTGACTTAATGTTCAAAACAACCTGCCTGTCTCATTAGCTGAGAGCAGTCTCAGCATAATGGTATTGGCAATGATAAATGTGCCTTTTTACCTTTAATTAGCAAAGGGAGAGAGCAATACACTTCCATGAAGCAATCCTCCAAAGCAGGGCAAACATTGCTCTAATGTAGTAACAGTCCCATCTGGAAGAACTTGATAACTCTGTTTATGTGAATTTAGGGTTGAAATTGCATAAAACCCCTCTTACATCTTTACCACTTTCACCACTACTGGAAGTGTAACAAGTATCATATTTCACATTCTTTCAGCTGAGACAAGGAAGTGCAGACAATTGTAAAATATTCTAAAGGAACCTTTCGAATATTGCAAGTAGTTGTGCTTTCAGGTATATAACATCAGCCCGTATCTTTTTTCAGCTATAATGTCTTCTATAGCTTACAGTTTCATCTAGTAAGTTTTGTTCTCCTGGCAAAACAGACATTGCTAGCCACAGGAAACAGTGAGAAGAAACCTGATCCCTATCTCCCAATTTACTTTCAGCAGTTATCTTGTTGCCTAGTGAAACTCGCATTTTTACAGATTAAATATTTATGTGCACAGTGTGGGAGGCTGCCAGAAAATACCAGAAGTTAAGTCCCACCTCTGTGGAAACACTGACCCTGAGAAACAGACCGATTACAATGGATGAAGGTAATTTTTTAGGACATAATGTTTATTTAGAAAAAAAAAAAAAAAAAGTTTATGTACCTTTTATTATGGCACACAGTCGCTGAGGTGGAAGAGTGGAGCCAGGCCACTATTATATTAGACAAGCTGAGTGAAAAGTGTGAAGAGGATAACCATCTATTTTTAACCTTCTTAGCTGAAAATAAAAGTCAAGGTAAAAAAGAATCCACTGGTATTAAGGACATACTAAGAGAGCTAAACTGTTTACATGGCAGAAAGATCCACAAGTGAATGAGTATAATTTTGGACATAGCTAATCATTTTTCAAAAGCCATCTTGCTAACCTAGGAAAAAATATATTTGAATACTAGTGACTAGTTGGAAAACTGTGTATATGTCTTCATAAATGTTTAGAAAAGTGTGATAAATTAAAGTCTTCTAAGTAAAGCTGCTCTTGGACTTACAAATATTTTGTGAATTTTAAGAAAAAAAAAGGATTGAGTTTTCATAGATCAGGATGATAGTATTGTTTCAGCCACAACAAGTGACCATGTGTGCTCATGTTTATGTACTGTGTCTCCCTTTAGGCATATCATTGCAAGAAATAAAATGTTAGAAAATGAACAAGAAAGAGAATGATCAAAGTGCTAATGAAAGTCACTTCTGGTGAAAGACTGAAAAGTGGGTTTGATGGTTTAGTGATGTAAGAAACTAAGTTCTTTCTCAGAACAAGTTCAGAAGTCTTCAGAAGTCTTTAATTTGGTGGTAGGACGAGAAGCAATGAACTTAAGTGGAGGGAGGGGTTTTTTAAGTAACATTTTAATTTAAACAAAAAACATGTTAACTAAAAGGACATTTAAGAAGATATTAGATAAGTGGTAAAAAATAGCTTAAGTAGGTAGTCCTACTTTCTTTACTATGATGTTTTTTATGTAGGAATATTTTTTAAAGGTTTAGACCTTTGCTGAAATTCTCCTGTCCCTGATTCTTATTTCTTCTCTGAAATCTTAATACCTCTTTTCTGAAAATAGTCATTTGCAAGGCATATACCAAACAATTCTGCCTCAAAGGAGAGTACATAATACCACAACAAAAGGGCAAAAAATGTTATATTGCCAAATTTTGTGGGTTTCCTACTAAATTTTCCACAGAGATAAAATCTATCCCAACTGTGACATCTTAAAATTGTTCTTAAATTGCACCTGTACTCTTAAAATGACTTTTGTTATGTTGAAGATCTCTTACAAGATACTACTATGAGTGTTCAAACTTCATTTTTTTTGATACATGGGCTGAGGTGGCCATATTTGGGGCTTAGCAGGTAACCAAGGTTGGGCCTCAAAAATTGAAATATTCAGCATCTACAGTCATTTTTATCTTGAGACTTTTACTGCATATGCTTTTAGGGATTTAGATAAGTGAAAGCAGAAGGCCAGATTCTGTATTTTTCAAGGGTGTATAATTAAAGAATAAATGAACAATTATACAAAGCCTATAACAAAAGCAGGATGCTTTGCCTTTCCCCACCTTAGGGAGCAGGCTGCTGAAAAGCTGTATGAGAAAAAGATGAGGAGGATTTGTGGTTTTTTTCAAAGCAACTTGCAGATCCTGTTCATAAATATGAGGGAAAAGTCTGCTCTTACCTAATATTAATGATCGCATTTGAACCCTTCCCACACATATTAGTAAAAGTAATTTTTTCTCAGATGTCAAATATACTTCTCAAGCATTATGGTTAAAATTTAAATGCATTACTAAAGATTAAAATTAAAGGAAGATTGCCATGGCTGATTAAGAGACAAATAACAGTCCATTAGTGGGACATTGTGATCTGTTTGTATTCTCAGACAGTGGACAAATGAATGAGCAAAGATTGGGAATACCATGGAATACCAAGTCTAACCAATATGAATGGATTAACTATGTCTATAAATAAACATACAAATGCACATCAGTTTCCAAGGAATTAAATCTGAATTCTTATCTTTGCTCCAGTATACCTTATAGTATGAAATATGTGCCTTCTACTTTCAAGAGGAAAATAGCGAAATCATTGGCAAAATACAGCAAGAGAAAGCCTTGTTGTCTGTGATAACAAGCTCTAATATTAACTGTTGACGTCAAAGTTTTGTTCCTATCAACAATTTATGAATAGATAGCTTCTGTATATGCTCTTGTTCATGCCAATGCACTATATAAGCATAATAAGGATTTTTTATCTTAAAAGGAGTAGTCAACTGACTAACTGTAACCTTCTCTCACACCAGAAGTTAAGAACAACAAGTTGATTGTCAACTCTGTTAGGCAATGCCATTGGGCAAGGCTGTTGCTTAAGGGAGTGTAACCTGAGAACTTTAGAGGAAGAAATGTGGTTTGACCAGAGTGACTAAGAAGTTTGCATAATGCATTTTCATCTGGAAAAATTCTGAGTTGTAGCTTGTGACAATATAAACAAACCTCTACTTTCAGAGGATGAGATCAAGCTGTGGAAGTTATCCTCCTCAGAGAATTAATCTTCATATTAACAGTACAAAGGCTGAATTTGTATACCAGCAATAACTTTTATAAATGCAGGCTTAAATATTATAGAACAAGCTGATATCAATGTGAGGAGCCCTCAGTGAGAAAGAAGAACCAGACTACTAAAACCTAGACTACTAAGACTAGGTAAATAGGAGAGGCAGATGCTATTCCATCCACTAACAAGAGAAGGGGCCCCAAAAGGCCCATTTCCAACCATCCAGCTATAGTGAATATTGCAACTACATTCTGTTACTTGAGTGCCTGTATAAGTGATCAGCAGCAGCAATAAAAATTACAATTTCCAGTTTTTTGTAAGCAACATAAGCAACAATGTGGTCTTGGCTATCAGAGCCCATTTGTTCAGGTCATTGTGAGAACAGTTATTCTTTATCCACATGAAGCTTCAGACTTCATTTTCCACATAAAGGGGGAAACACTCTACATCTGCCCAAGTCAAAGAAGCAGTCTTCTCTTTCACTGTGGCTCTTCTATTGAACCATACTTTAAAGACATTCCCACCAAACCCTGAAAGTCCTCTGTCTCACTGCCCTTGCCTTGAATCAGAGCACAGAGGGTAGAACAGGTTCCATTCAGTCCGCTGATGCTTTTAATAGAAAGCGTAGAGTGTGCAGTTATATTATGGATAATACTGAATATCAGAGAATCTGTGCATCGATAGAACACTCCTGTAACAAGCAGCAATAAAAAAGCTTACTCTCAGCCCCTCTGTACAGAGTTATTAAAAGAACACTGGTTTTATATATTTTATATATATATATATGCTTCTGTCATTGCAGACAGAGCCTTTTTTTGAGATACAGCTAGCTCCCTAAAAATGAGTGGGTAAAATTAGAGGTATTACAATACAGGGGTGGGGCCCAGACCAAGCACTAAATTAGTTTGCCCCAACTGTTCCTCACAAATCACAGATTTCAAGAAATTCCTAACCTGGTGTGTTTTGAGAGATTACTGTGAATGCTAAAACTCTCTTCACTATTTTGGCATTTTGATTAAAATGCATACAAAAGACACACAGACTGTTAAATACTATTAACAAGAAACATACATAAAGATATTCTTGCTTTTCCACTTTCTTTTTCTGCCATAGCCTAGAGATTCTGCCATGCTTATTGCATAGATAAATTAATCTGTGTGGGCTTTATCATACTCATTTAGTGAGGTGTATGAATATTTAACTGTGTGCATCACTGATTTAAATACTGCATTTGGAGAGTAAGGAAAGATATCATACAAACCTGGTTTATTTGTCCACCCCTTTACAGAAACCTTTCTTTGATGTCTGGAGCACCTCTTGGTAGAATAAGCTGTTCCTTGTGTTCCAGTAGCCCCCAGCCCTGTAACACAGTTGCAAAACTTACAGTTTTAATGAATTACAAGTCTGATGATTCACAGAGACTTTCAGAGCCCCATTATCTGAGTTGGTCTGGATTGGCTCTAAGTATAACCAGAAGCCAAGGAAAGTTCACTCTGATTTGAGAGTATATGACTGTTTTAGCTGTTTCTCTGCATTTTATATGACACAGGATACAACACTGGTATTTCAGTTAGTATTAAAAGTACCAAGATTCGTTAGAATTTTCTGTGCAGGGAATCTCCAGAGGAGCAACCCTGTACATCTGTGAGATGACTCTTAATCCCCAATATCCTAAGTATTTCTACAGTGATATTTTTCATTTGAAAGGCATTAAATTAATTAATACAGATAGCTGACAATACTTTACCCCACACTGTGGACTGAATACTGAGACATTATATTAAAACTGGACAAAAGATATAAAAGTTCTGTGTGAGGCTATTTGACCATGTGCAGAACATGACCATGCTCTGTCAGAATACAATGACTGATTTTAATCTGTCTTTATGAAGATTTTCTTTAAATAATCTACTTTAAATACTAGAGAGTAGGATCTTCTGCTTTTACTATAACATGCTAAATAAGTGTGCCTGATGATCTTTCCTAAATTGGTTTAAATGCATTGCTATCTGTACTATGTATATTAACTAAATATATTTTTTGTTTTGTTTTATTTTTTTAATAAAAAGCCTGACTAACTGTTGGAATAAGAATTATTTTTTCAGAATATGTGATTTGATGTTTTTTTTTTTTCTATTCCTGTTTGGGGTTTTGCACTTTTAGACCAGTATTCCTATCCTGAAGAAAGTGTTCCCCTGTCATCACAATCCTGGTTCTGGAAGAAGAATTCTGTTTCTCCTGCTGCTAAAAGCCAAAGCAAAACAGGTAATATTAGCCTTTTCTATTTGCAAGCATTTGCACACACCAAATGTTTAGAAATCTATTAAAAGGCATATGGCACAACTATAATGGAGGTGTGGGGTTTTACTAATTATCCAGCAAACTTTTTAAGCAATAAGATGTAACACATTGAAGTGCAGCCTGAGAAAAATATGCCAAGCTGTCCCAATTGGCTGATGGCCTGAATCACTCCTTTCAGTAGCTAAACTGTAATGCCTGTTTGCTCTAAGTGGAACTGGGAGCACCATCTCAGACCAAATTGGAAACCTTTGATAGGCCACAAAAATGGGACTATGGATTTGAGGCCTCTTGTCTCTTAGACTAGAGGTAGTGTGGCTGAACCAACAGCACATATCTAACTTTTAGAACATTACTGATACCAGTCTGACTTTTTTATACAGCTCATCTATTCTGTCCTAATTAAAATCCAGGGGGTTTATTTTAAATCCAAGCAAATTCTTAACCATTCTCTTTTTCTATTTCAATCTGGGGGTGAGAGGGAAAAAGAAAAGTGCATTTAAAAAAGTATGCTCTAGCTGTGTCATACCCTTGTGTAGTTTCAGATGTAACCTTAGAATGACACTGACTGGCACATTGGCATTGTGATAGATCAAGTATCTTTGAGATTGGATGACTAACGGGGTAACTTGTCCTGCTGTCCAGGGCTTTAGGGTATACTACAGTAGTCCCTGGCCCAATTGTTTTCATATGCCAGCTAAACCTTTGTGTATTATGATCAGACAATTTTGTGTTAGCAGTCACCATGCAGCCTGAGTGGAAAATTGACTCTATGAAATAGTATCTGTTTCAGTGACTAAATGCTCAACTTGCTGCAACTAGTCAACCTAGAGGGGTCCCTAGGTTGTTTTAGGACAGAACATGAATGTGCCTGCCACCTATGTGAACATCAGTAATACTATTGCAGTAGCCTTAAAACCATAAATAACACACCTTTTAAACACGTTACCCCACCTTCCCCCAGGGTTAGTTTGAGACCTAACAGTGACTCCAGCTGTAGAAAAGTGACTGATCTGCAAGGTTCAGAATAGTTTAAAGAGGAAGATGCCATACCTCTGTTGCCAAGTCATGCTACTATTTCAAAAACGCAGAGAAATTTTCATGGGGCTTTGCCATTTTTTAACTCCATGAAACTAAACTTAAATACATACTAGTAAAGAAAATACTTGCATCACTTTTCTTTCTCTCTTCCAAAGATGAGATGATGGAGACACTAGAGATTCTTTTAGGTCTCAAACTGATATTTCATTCAGTAGAAGTAATTCAAAATACATTGCTTTGTGGTTAGCAAATTTCCAAACTCAGGAAATAATTGCCTATTAGCTTTACAGGATTCAACAAGGTCATCTGCATCAGAATCTCAGAGATGAGATGCCAAGACATAACTACATTAGTCCAGCTCCTACTGAACTCAGTGAAAACTGAAGTTACTCAGGCTATTGATGGCTAAACTTTTAATTCTATAGGAAATTTAAGTAAACCTCCCAATGATCCAAAATCAGGGAGCAAACAAAGATATTTTACTACTGCTTTACTTGTGGGTTTTCTCTCATTTAGATACAAACACGTTAGCCTGCTGGAAGTGTGAATCATGTTATTCTGATTACTTCTGCTATCTGATCCAGAATGAAATCAGGAAAAACCCTGTGAAATTAGAACTGACTCTTCTGACAAAATTTTCACCAGAAAATGTACAAGGAGAGTGTCAATTTATCAAAATCAGAATCTTGTGTGGGGATACTGGACATTAAACACATAACAGAGTTCATAGTGGACCTAGAACAGAAATTGTTATCAGCACCAAAGAGATATCTACTCCAAAATGTACATTAGTCAAGAAGTTAAGGCAAGCAGTTACATTCTTATTCCACTGCAGATTAGGAATTTGAATATCAGGTTATGCTTCAGTGGTTTAGCACACACATAGGAAAGTTCAGCCCCATGGCACCCCTTTCTGCATTTCTTCTCATGCTAAAACTTTCCATGCTGTGCTGCTTGTCCATGAGCCAATTTCCTTAATACAATGCAGCATATGAAATTTTCTGAAGCTAGCTGCAACAATGAAACATGTGCATAGGCCTGAGGCAGGTTCACACAACTGCTGCTCAGATGTTTGTATTATGGGGCAACCACGCCACATAGTGATTTGCTAGTGCCTTTTGTGTACTGCTTATGATCATTAAAAATACAAAAAAAATGTAACTACATGGGGACTACGTGTGTGCATGCTACCTCAAATTACAGCTACTCTTACCTCAAGGAAACTGCAGACCTCCGTAGCTTTATACACTATCTAACCCCAGAGCCTCTATGCTTTTAAATCAAAGCTTGTTTCAGTGATACGGTTGGCATGCAGCATTTCTAGGCATGGAGCTCCTATTTCTCAAGGTCTGATCCTGTGAAACGTCAATTACTATTGAGAATCTGAGCATAGCAGCATTTTGAGGAGATTGCTCGGATGTGCCTGTAATTATATCAGAACTGGTTATTTCATATTACCCCTTTTCCATTCAATAAACAGACAGATAAACCTGGAGTTAAATGTAAAGACCTGGATTACCATCCATCTCTGGTTTTCTTGAATTTAGTAAATATATTGTACAATTCAATAGGCAATGGAAATATCTCACTCACAGAGAATGAGAATTTTTGTCATTTTTCCTGACTAGGAAAGAAAAAATTTCCTGAAAGTAAACAGATGATATAAAAAAAGATCTGCTCATAAATATTTATAAGGGTATGTTTCAATCCAGTGTTGGGGGAGGTTTTAATATGATCCCAAGAGCAAGAATAAGACACAAATGAGGTCAAATGCATACTCTTAAAACAGTTTTTTATTATTAAAAGTGAAGAGAGGTAGTGATAGGAGAGAATGAAAGGAACAGACAGAAATTGAGCAACCGTGAGGAATAGAGTTGCAAGAATAGTCACCAGCATGGATCCAACAGCATCCCATTGGTCCTCAGTCTTCAGTTCTTCGGCAGTGTGTGCACACTGTGCGAAGTTTTCCATTGCTTTTTAAGTTCATCATATCAGCTGATTAGCATATCAGCCCACCTTTAGATTTTTTTTCTGTGGTCACAGAATCATAGAATCATCTACGTTGGAAAAGACCCTGAAGATCATCCAGTCCAACCGTTAACCTTACACTGACAGTTCCCAACTACACCAGATCCCTCAGCGCTATGTCAACCTGACTCTTAAACACCTCCGGGGATGGGGACTCCACCACTGCCCGGGGCAGCCCATTCCAACACCTAACAACCCCTTCTGGAAAGAAATGCTTCCTGACATCTAGTCTAAACCTTCCCTGGTGCAATTTGAGGCCATTCCCTCTTGTCCTATCCCTTACTACTTGGTTAAAGAGACTCATCCCCAGCTCTCTGCAACCTCCTTTCAGGTAGTTGTAGAGGGTGATGAGGTCTCCCCTCAGCCTCCTTTTAAAAAACCTGGTCCCACAGGTTTTTGCTGCCTCTGGCTTCTGGGGCAGAAATGCTCACCTATTATCGGTTCATTAGCCATGCATGCATGGTGTCTGGTGTACACAATAGTCACAAGTGGCTACACGATGGAGCCACTGATAAACATAGACTAACATCCTTAGACTAATCCACAGGCTGCAGCTAGTTATTGATGCTTGCACAGACAGAAGTAAGTTTTGAGAGTCATTTGACATTTCAGTTTCTCACATGGTAATGGCAATTTTCTCAAAAGATGCTAATGGAGCCAAATAAAATCATATTAATTACTGTATCTGGACTTCATGACCAATGTATATTAAATTCTCATTTTTGATATTTATAGTAAAGGAAAAACAAATATTAACTAATTAGTCTCAACAGATATCAGTCTCTTCAGGATGGAAATTATGCCCCTCTCATAGCCTTCTGTGTTTTCCCTCAGACTGTAACTGCAAGCTATTATATACAGTCAGAGCAAATTAACTCTAAATTTATGTTACACTGCCTTCCAACAGAGACTGGATTGAAAACATTCACAATACTGCAAAAACATGTTTCCATCTACCATCTTTTTTCCACCTTTTTTTCTTCCTCTCACAAAAGGAAGTGGTTGATGGAAGAGACACAACAACACATGAAGGTCACCTGTTTAGAATATTAGTCAATGTTATCTTGAAGATTTTGATCCTATATTGAAAAAAATAGATTTACAATATACAGGATTCATATGCATGTATGCATTATCCAGGGTGTACTTTTGGTACTATGAAAGTACTACAATTTTTTCTATAGCGTTTTATTTGGACTGATTGCTATTATCTTGGCAGTTCTGCAGGATACACAGTTTTGAGGTTTAAGTCTGTATTATCTCCAATAACTGAGTATTGCTGGATGGTTTCTCCTGACAAAAACAAAACAAAACAAAACAAAACAAAACAAAACAAAACAAAACAAAACAAAAAACCCAAACCATTAATTATTAGTCAATATGAAATTAAAATTCTATAGAAAAACTGTACTGTTGACTGTAATTCTGTATTAAAAAATACCATTCCTTTACTCTTAACAAGAGTAATTGGGCACAACTTGCTCTTGCTTGTCATAACTTGTCTTTTCCTTTTGGCAGAATATTCCTGTAACTATTATAGCAGCATATATATCTTTCAACTAAGTTACTGTCAAGGATGCAAACCATAAGGAATATTTCATGACTGCAAATAAAACAAGTGCCAGACCAGTTGTCTTTGCTCTGAGATTCTCTGAAACATTCTATTTATGTAATGACATACCACATGGCACATCTGCTTTGTCTTTTCTCTCATCTGTTTTCAGGAAGGACTAGTTATGAGAAAAGAGGAAATTGAGAGTGCAGTGCAATGACTTTTTTTATGCTTTACTTTGTTTTGATCACTTAAAAATGCAGATTCTAATATGCAAATACTTACACAACATTATGAAAATGTGTCCTTAGAATGCAATATAATAATAATAATAATAATAATAATAATAATAATAATAATAATAATAATAATTATATAATAGAATTGTGTCTTTCCATGGTCGCATGCTTTGATGTCTTTATTTTTTTAGGAAAAAAATTCTCTGACACTGGGAAAAAAAAAGATAAAAGCTATGAGACTTTGGAGTTACATCCCCCAAAATAAGTGGTCCTCATCCATCATATTTGCTTGTTTTAAGCAGCATTATGAAGATACTTCTCTTTCTGTCCATCTTTCATAATTGCTACTAGTCAATTCTATAAAAAGAAAATACCACCTCCCACCCACACCCCCCACCCCCGTCACAAGGCAGTTTATGTTTGGGCAAATCATAAAATAGAAATCACTGTAGTAAATAAGTAGCTAAAGAGTAAGACATGGGATGTGATAAACCGATGAGACAGACATCAGAATTTGTGATGAACACCTCTGAATGTTAGAGCAGTAAATTTTATTGAAGTTGGCATGAAGCAGCACAGAAGAAACATGAGAGGGGATAAACCATTTTCAGCTACAACTGTATGTGAAGAAGATTGTTAATTCTTAAGCATAAAATATCATCAGAGCATGGCCTACCTATAAACAAAGCATGCTATAACCCAGGAGACTGTTCCTATTTTAAATTATGATTTTTAATTAATAAAACCCCAAAACACTCTGCATTTCCCAGGCATCACTTTTAAAGTATAAATTAAGTATAAATAAATTAATATTATAAATTCATCTTAACCAAGCAGATATGTTTATCAGCATAGTGTGTCAACTAGGTCCCCTAACCAGTCCAGTAGAGGTGTAGGCACAGACAATTGTTCACTTTTCTTCCTGTAATAGATGGCTATACATTGATGATTTACATTGAGGATGATTGATCATGTTTTCCATGCAGACTGCAGAGGCACATGTTTAAACTTCAGTATGAGGATTATGAATGTGAGAATATTTTGTGTTTCTCATCAAATATTTAGTAATACGTACACACAGGACAACAACCAGCTGACACTTGAAAGAATGAGTGACAGAGAAAAAGTGCTGTGTGCTGAATTTCCATGGATGGAAGACACGAATAAAGTTCCTGTGTTGACAGAGGAACTAAAACTTTACATGAAAATTAAAACTTATATGTAAAAATGGTAGTTCTCTAAATTTCAGAAATAGTCTTGGACATGGAAATAGTCTGATCAGGGAGTTAAAACTGAAAAGAAATAACATATTGAGAACCACTCTTGAAAGTGAAGGTGACATGAAAATTAATCATAGAATGGTTTGGGTTGGAAGGCACATGTGGACATCATCTAGTCCAACCCTCCTGGGGTCATGGGGGATTCTATTAAACCTTTTTAATATCAAACAAATCTATTTAGGTTTAACCCCAAGGAATCTGTTTGCCTTAATTTCTGAAATTACATGTCTTTTTACATATGAGATAATATCTCAAGAAGGAAGGGGTTGTAAACTGTAATTTTCTAGAATGATCCAATCCCCCTCTCCAAACCCCAAAGCTAGTTATGCTATGTCTAAAATACTATAAAGAAATGACAGCAGGTTCAGTAAAACTCAAAAATCTTCTATTATTATGGATTACTGTCTGAACTCTTACTATGCAGATGAAGCAGGTATTTTCTCACTGATTACTAGAAGCATCTGCTATCAAAAGTCCTGTTCTGCAAGATCAGCCATAGATATTTATTTCCAGAAGTTTTTAGTGGAATCCCCAATTTACAAAAGAAAGGTCTGAGTAGAGACCACTGTCTGTAAAAATATGTGGGTTTCTGTTTATATGGTGATGTTCCTTCCAAGTACAAAGATACTTATCTAATGAATATCTTAGAATCTGAAAGAATTGTACTAGATGCCTTCTTGATTGGTGAAAGTCCTTTAATTTAGAAAGAATTTTGATCAGGAGATTTTCTGGGAATTACTTCTGTTAGATTGCAGGCCAGTTGACCTGGCTATAAAGGAAGGACTTCCAACCTCAGTCAAAAGAGGTAGTAACCTGATTGCATGAATGAAAGATCATCAAAGTTCATTAGGTTTACCTTTCCTTTTAAAGCAGGTCTTACACAGTGTCAAGGACTTCTCTATTTCTCTCACTCCCCCACCAGCAGGTATGCTGGAGGGTCACAAGGAGTTGGGAATGGACATAGCTGGGACAGCTGACCTCAGCTGACCAAGGGGATAACCCATGCCATATAATATCATGCACAGCAATAAAAGCTCAGAGAAAGGCAGAAGTGGCAGCTTTTGGAATTATGGCATTTGTCTCTCCTTACAAGTAATGAAGCCCTGCTGCTTTCCTGGAAATGGCTAAACATCCGCCTACCAATGAGAACTAGTGAATTAATTCCTCATTTTGTTTTGCTTGCACATAGAGCTTTGCTTTACCTATTAAACCATCTTTAACTCAACCCATAGATTTCTAACTTTTACTCTTCCAATTCTCTCACCCATCCCACTAGGGGGGAGTGAGCAAGTGGCTGGGTGGGAACTAGCTGCCGGCTGGGGTTAAACCATAACAGAAGGAACAGAGTTTTGTGCTGTTTCTTTGAATAGTGCTGCTGAGCAAATTGATTGGGGAAATATAATAAAAGTACCCAACTGCGATAATGGTGGGAGGGAAGGATTAGTGAAACCAGCCTGATCTTTGTTATAGTGCAATTATTGCTATTACATGTATTAAACTAAAACATTATACAATTATCTTGAGGTTTTGGTGACTCAAAATCACTAGGAAAAACAAACAAACAAACAAACTCCCCCCAAAAAACCAAAACACAAACAACCTCTAACAGCAAATGATGTTTCTTTTATGTTATTGATGAAAATCCTATATGATTTTCTAGAAAGACAAAGGTAATTAAGGAAAGAAATTCACTGCTGAGCTTAGTCTGTCTAGGGGAAGTGATAAAATCTTGTAATGAAGCCCTAAGAGACAAAAGTTGTCTTCCTAGGAATTTTGGTCAACAGTGATAGACTGTTTTCATGTCTCTAAAAGGTCTTAATTTCTTCCACTTATGTTTAACGAAGACAGAAAACACAAAGAGAGGAATAACTACTTATCTACCTTGCTAAAACATTAAAAATAAAGTCTGTTGTCATTGCAGCCTGCTGTGCAGGCTACAGCTGAATCTGAGTTTAAGCTACACCTCTGCATAAAATGGAGACCTGTCATCATTACAGGATACACTGAGGTATGAGGGTAAAATGGCAATCTGAGAACATATTTGCAAGATGAAGTAGTGAGTGGTATTTTTAACAACTGCTATGGTGTGCTGTATTTCAGTGTTCTGTAGGCACATCCAATAGATTCCACTCTGAAAAGAAAAGCAATAAGGCAAGAAAAAAAGCTAATTTAATCCCTTATGATTTTTTTTTTTTTTTCATATGGGAAAGGAACTCAGGAATAGTTAAAAAACAGCATTATGAAATAACGCAATATTGAGCTTTGCCATGAACTTTATTATCCATTTGAGCTAAGAAGAAGGTCCAGGTGAGGATCCTTTATCCTTAGAAAGCACAATCCCTCCTCAAGCTGCATTTCTCAATCTGCAATATGAAAAAGTTCTGTCAGATTCATTAGATATGTGCAACTTCAACCAATCCAGGTTACTTTCAGTAATTACTTTGCTAACATCATAATTCTTGAAGACCTCTGTTACTTCTGGAAGTATAATTTTAAGTCTTTCAAAGTGTGCATAAGCCAAGTATTTAAAGACTTTACGGTTTTTAACGCAATGGTTACCAATGGTGAGACCCATAGCCAGATAGCTGGAAACTCTGTAATGACATGAGTTCTGTTGCTGAACTTATAGTCACCTAGATTTTGATTCCTGTATTTGTGTTCTGATTGCTTCCTGAAAAACCTATCTTTTGTATTTCAGGTTCAGAATCAATTATGTATTTTCTTACTCACATGGGAGTTTATATCTAGCTGCTCCATGCACCATGAAGAACTGGAAAAGCAGTATATTTTTCTATGGAAGTTATGAGTCTGGCAAGGAAAAAAAAACAAACACAAAACAACAAACAACAAAACAAACAAACAAACAAACAAATAAAACCAACAAAAACAACTTTCCACTAATAGATCTTTTGGTTTATTTGAAATTCAGCAAAAAGAAAAACTTTTTGTGGTGATACAGTGGAAACTGATCATTACAGGGGAGCAGACATCTTAAAGAGATCCAGAGTTATACATGGAGTATACATGGAGTATGCATGAGTATACAGTGTATACATGGAGTAATGTGTTTGAGATGTGTTTTTGGGTGGAAGCTACAAGAGTCTTTGCAGATTTTATTCAGGGTAGATAGTGAATTCTGAAAACTTTATTTCATGGACCTTGATGTGTTTGCCAGTTCAGCTAAATCTGAAAGTCAAACCAAGATTAAATCACCAAATCATGTTAGATTTCAAATGAGACAGAAAGAAAAAAACCAATACTATGAGTTTGTTCTGACAAATTTCTAAGAAACTCAACCAGGTTTACTTCTAAATTGGCTGACAGTGTGTACTACTTTTATTTTAAATTCATTTTGGGGTGTGATCTTACAAATCTGGTCTTGTTTCATGATATCTGTTCTCAAACCTCTCAACAGAATACATCCTCGTAGTATTTTATATAAAATTACTTTGTTTGTTTTTCCAGAAGCTTGGTTGCGAACAGTTATCCCTCCAGGCTCTCAAGCGCCTGAAGATTCAGTAAGAATTGATCCTGAAACTAAACCGCAGGCCACCATTCATTCATCTGTTGCTCTACCAGGCAGCATTATTGATTATTCAGAAGAGATACAAGAGGATCCTTCATGTATGATTAAAAGTGTAATGACTGAAGAAATACCTGAAGAATGTAAGCAGTACTTTGTGCCTCAGGTGTTCAGAAAGAAAGTGTACTTTGTTGTTTTCCACAAAAAAAGGCAGATTGGTACCCCATTACTCTAATGTAGTTTCACAGAAGCAGAACTACTTAAGCATTAGAGTTCATATTGCATCATCTGTGCTGCTATAGTTTGAATATGGATGAAAGTGAGTATGAGCTAAGTGGGAGACTTCCTGTCACAATTCAGCGTATAGGTAATGGAAGTGGTCCTCAAGCTCCTCATGTACAGGAGATGCCTAATGACTTTATACACAATAAAACCAATGCCAGCAGAACTGGACTAAATTTATGGTGTGTTCTGTAACTTCTAAAAAAGGTGTGCTTCCTACCAGACTCTAGTCTGTGCTACATGCTTTGATTCTAGTTGTAAAGTAAGAAAGGAGAGCCATATGGTTTGAGGAAGTTTACATTTTAAAGGGATTATACTTCAAGATACTGTGGTGTTTTGAATGCCTTCTGAGAGCCAGTCTGACTGATGACATTGAAAAGAAAGGGAAAGAACTACGATAGGTGTCTCCTCCCTGCTGTACCACAGAGTTCTGTGTGCGTTCACTCACATGAGTGGTGTGAAAAGGTATACTCAGTAGTTTTGGGAGATACACGCTCTACGAGATGCTAACCTAAAGAGAACACATATAAACTGATTTTTAACATTCATTAATTAACTTGTAGGAGATAAAAATATAGTTTTTCCCTATGGACTGCTATAGATTGACAGGGAACTTTGCAGTCGTTTCAGCAAGTAATATAGTAACACATTTTGACTAAAAGGAAACAATATCTGTATGTCTGTTTGCCATTAAGGGCTTAAGACTAACCTTTATCCTAGACAGAAAGGTAGACACTACACTCTTGACCTGCAAGCATTGATGCTCTGGTGGCTAATTTTGCCTAATTATGTGAAGTGAGGGGCTTTTTCAAGAACAGCTATGGCTTCAAATAGTCTCCAAGGTGGTGGGAAGCACGCCAAACATGAACCAAAAGGATGTAGATGTGAGAGGTTAAGTCCTTTAAGAAGTAGCTATTCTGTATATAATTTAATATGCATCCTTCACTGACATAATTCACAGAACAAAAACTGAGAGAGAGATATTGATGCAATGTATAGTGACAAAAATACTGAATTCCAAAAGAAGAATAATGAGGTAAGGGGACTCTTCTCAACACATTTATTTAGTTATTTTCTAAATCATCTAAACTGGCTTTTGCTGAACAAGACTTTCATGACTATATAGGAATAGGATCTGGTGATTCTATTTAGTAGCTGGATTGACTGTTTTAAAACATATGTTCTGTACAATATGTCCAATAAAAGCAATGTGAAGAGACAGATATTTGGTTGTAGAAAATCACTGCATCATGAAAGTAGATTAATATTACTTCAGGATCTCAGGAAAGATAACTATACATTTGGATTTCCCCATTAGAAAAAAAAATCTTAATTTCTTATAATTGTTTTGACCAATTCAAAGAGATAGATTTCTTTCAGACACTGTTCTCCCTTTCACATCAGAACATTTGAAGTTACTCTCATTGGCTGTTGTGACTTGTTTTTCTCTCAGAGTAGGAGTGATGTACGCATCCAGAGCACTCATTAATAAACCTCAGTCAGATATATCTCATCTAACAATGCAATCCATCCTCACCCCTACAAACACGCACACTTATTTTCAAAGATATTGGGAAAAAGACAGTTTGTTTTGTAATTTTTTCAAAATTACATTTTGAAAAGGTTTTGACAGAAGATGAGAAACAAGTCTGGAGTACAGCCTTTGTATTCAATATTTCTCTATCATCAGTATCAGGTGGAACCATTCAAGTCTCAAACAAGTACTACATCCTTCTTATGCTTGTAGCTCTCTCAGTGATTTCCCAATCTCTTGTTCTTTTGTACCACTTTTACTGATTTAAAACTCTTTTTGGTCCCAACAGAATTCGTGTATACCACATCTAAATCAAGTTAATTAATGAATCAAGAATTCAGAGAATTGCAATAATTTTTCCCCTGATTTTAGCACCTAAACTTTGTTAACAGATGGAGAGGGAAACTCATGGCTCCATAAACTTGGAATTAATATAAACAAGTGGTCATTTCTGAATTCCCTGTTTGGATGGAGTGAAAACAACGTTCTAGAAAAAGGTATATTTATATAGCAAATATTGTTCTTGCTTTCTGAATAACATAATACATTACATAAATGGGAAGGTTTGCGGTTTTTTTTCTTTTATGTGAGCTCTATTTGAATGAAGTTGTGTAGTTTGGATTTCTGACTGAAGCTTAGATTTATACATGTTACCGTTCTGAATAATCAGATCCGTCTCTTTTGACCTTATACATTTGTTAGTTAATTATGATATTAAATTAAGGCTTATAACACCCCAAATAATTTTCAAATAGGAAATCATCTACTGTGTTAAGCAAAAAAAAAAAAAAAAAAAAAAAAGAAGAAGGAGGAGGAAAAAAAAATGTTTTAATTCAACAAAAATTTAAAATTTTAAAATTTTATATCAAAAGGCAGTTTCAAGGAGGCTTTAAAGTTCCCTCTTCTTGGCCATGATAAAACCTATTTTTCTTAAGATACAGTATATTTCTGCATGATTTTTTTTAACATAAGTTTCATTTTTAGTTTAAATGACATAAATATAAGTAATTAATATGACAGTAGTCATGGACTAGTAATTGTCAAACCACATAATTATGTTTGATGGTGTACATAGATCAAAGCTGGATAGTCAAAGTTACTAAATTTCTCCCAAAGTTTCATTTTCTTTGTTATCAGAAGAAAGATGTTTTAAAACCGTACTTGATGTCTCTAATAAAATATCTAGAGTTACTGTGCATTTTAGGTCTATACTTCAAGTGGATAAAGCAATTTTTGTTATATAGTAGATCATGTGAAGACATCTGGAGTTTGTTCTGATGCTGGTCACAAAGCAACTGAGCTGGAGGAATGTACAACTAAAGAAGAAATACCATATATTCCATACAAGTTAGCTGCATTATATATCATCAAGGTAGAAAAACAACAACAACAACAAAACCCCACAAAACCAAACCAACAAACACACCTTCCACCCCAAATAAAAGCCCCAGCATGAATTAATTATTTACAGTTTAAAAATTGCCAATTGAATTGTCTCTATTCGTAGGATATACTAAACAAATTGTAATAATTGTTTTCATCATATGAATTCAATTCACAGCAAGTTTCTTCTTTGCATTTGGGAGCCTGCACTTAAATTTTGAATGCTGACAAAAATACAGATATTAAAATGAAACTGTCATCTTAAGTGCAGATATTATATTGCTTAAATTTACCACCCAGTTAGGTGTCTAAAGATAAAGAACTCTGTTGTAACTGTACATGGAGAAAAACCTTGCCTTCCTGTATATTTATCATCATGTTTCCTGATTGTTGAAAGTGGCTTTTGACTTGCAGTGTGAGGTTTTGTTGCTATTGCAATATTTCTGGCACCAGTAACTATCATAATTTTGGATTTTCTGTTCAGCCAGTTTACTTTAAATTTTGCATTATCTGTGGCTATGTGTGTGTGTGTGTGTGTATGTGTGTATATATATGTATCTCTATATCTCCTGGTTTATTGGTTTAATTTGTTTGTTTATTTCATAAAATATGCTCTTGTATTCTTGTTCATTTATTATGCTTCAGAAACTTTCTATGGTAACTTCTGTGGTACAGGCTACAGAATTCCTGAGCTAGCTGTAAGATACAAGTTCAAATACCTGAAGCAATCTAATTAAGACAGCTCAAAAGCCTGTGGGTGATAAGAAGCATAAACCCATCTGGGTCTTTTCAGCCTCCTCCTGGAAGAAGCTTTTCTTGTGTCAACCTTCTAATCATGTCTCTTTAAAATTCCTCTACTTCTACAATAGTGTTTTTGGTGGAGGGTAAATATGACAGTATATTTGAATACCACATTGATGCTTTGCCACTTCTATATCATTTGAAATGTGACAGTGTCAGGTGGTAGAGATTTTTCACTCCCAGATTAACTGCTTGTAAATACTCACAAAGATTTAATCTGTTGTCATATAAATATCAATGCTACCAACCACAACTCTTAAAATAATGCATCGGCCACCACAAAAAAAAAAAAAAAAAAAAAAAGGGATTTTTTTTTCAGTTTTATTTTGGCTAAGCAGCTCACCGGCGGCAGAATCTGCATCATATTAAGTTTAAAGGAAAAACTGAAACCAAGGAAATGTCTGGAAAAGCTCTAGATTTTTATAATTAATATATATATATGTTTATTTTTGCTGCAATTCATCCAGCAGTATCTCTTAGTCTCATTTAAGACACACAAGTATCAGTGTTGTGTAATTTGAGATTGCACCTACCAGGCTAGTATGTCAAAAGCCGACAGCAGAAACTGGGATGAGATAGTGGAATTTTTCCTTTGTGACTATTATCAATTGGATTAGAAAAAAAAAAAAAAAAAA